AGTGGTGACGGCCGGCGAGGAGCCAAAAAACCGCATTTTTCACCAATTCCTCTTCTTTGGACTGGTTTTCGACTAATTAGCATGGCTAAAAGAATAGCTAAAAATGAATTTTGCATCAAACAAAGGCATTTTTTTCCGACTAATCGCGTAATTAAACAGCTTTTGTGTTTTTCACGCATGCGCACAAGCCAAAATTTTGACTTAATTATTTGCGAATCTATTTCGATCTTTCTCTACCTCTTTCTTTTTTTCTTTGCCTTTCTTCTATATTAGCAGTATTTTGCCCTCTTTATCGTCTTTTTTTTTTTGTATAGAATTGTGGCTAGCCAACGTTTTAGGAAAGGAAAATATTTAATCTTCAAAGAGTAGCAGATAAACCGCCACACTGGCAGTAGATTTTTCTTCAAAATGTTACCTTTTCTCTGAGTGTAGCGTTGTTAGGATTAGTCAGAATATCCAAAACGAGATATCGCTGGAGACGTTTTGTGACGTTGTTGCTTACAAATTTATTAACTTATATAAACTGAAAGCTAACTTAGTCTAGGAAGGAAAACATGCATGATCATGCATCGTTCCATACGGAGTGATAACGACCAAAGCAGTCGTCGAAGGTTAAGGCCGTCGGGATCACAATGCTAGAAGAACATGTTTAGAGCTATTGTAGCTTCGTTTTCTACGGCAAGTACCTCTACCAAGAGGCAATAAGGCACAAATAAGAGCAGATAACATGCTCCGCGGGAGGGGGGGAGGGCTGGACTCAAGGGAAGTCTTGAAAGAGCTGTGCCGCCGAGACCTTCAGACCTCGACACTGTTTAAGATTCTGACATAATGATTGATTTGTTTTGTTTTACATGAAAAATCAAATAGTTTTTCAAACTAACATCACAAATAAATACTATGGAAAAAAATTATTGGTATTGGAAATGTAAACTGCTCATCGCTAGCCCTCACAGTCTTTTTAAGCTTCCAGCGCAAAAAGACACTGTCCACGACGCTTTTAAGCGAATTTACTATTAAAATAGAATATTATAAATAATTAGAATTTTACTACTACTATGGTAAAATTCTACACTCCGTTTAATACTCAAGACCTTCTGTTCAGCAGCACATACCTGACCTGTATAACGTGCTCCACTCTTCAGTCTAGAGCTTGTTTTAGAACAAAAGCAACTATATGATCCCATAACTGACATCATTCGCATAACACCATTCCTCACTGCTGAAATTCGCGTTTGGAAAATTTAACATAAGCATAGATTCACATGTGCTGCATTTTCTGCCCTACCATCACAAGCTGAAGAAAGGTTCATACGCAGGAGTTGAAACTACTCTATGGTAACGTGCCAACGAGGCGAGCAGAACGATGGTTCTTCTTCACATTGAGGCTTAATAATTGTTCCTGTAAGTCGAAAAGATGACTCGCATGGCGGCAGATTCTCCAGCTTGACCTTCCAGCCTTAAGCTCGGGATGAATCTCGTAGCGAGTGAGGGTCTCTGATCACCATGTGTCTGCGTCTAGTCGCCCGACTGGTCTTCGGTTGTCACACGGGAAGTCCATGATCCAGTTGCCGAGTCTGCTTCTAAATGCTTCGGTTTTTCCCCGTGTTACAGGGAATTTGACGATTTCAGGTTAATTGTGTTGGCACTTAGTAGCTCGTTCCATGACTTCACAGCATAGTGCATCGCAGTAAATCCCTATATTGAAACTGTCAGCGGTAGACGTTATTCTCAGTCTTTTGACATTTTTGATCAACACCTCGCGCTACACGTCAACCACTACGTCTACGCGCGTGCTGCGCGAAGTTAGCTACTCTAGGCGACCACATGGAACATAGCTCCAGAGGAGATTTACAACTTCTGTACCCTGCCGTTTCATCGAAACTGCCCGTAATGTCCTTCGCTTGCCGGAACTTTCCCAGAAGTGCCATCCAAGCTCAAGAGGAAGTACTAGATCCTTGTTGCGAACCTTATGCACAGTCTTCACCTTCGTTGGCTTTCTTCACTGGATCAAAGAAAGCGTGGGATTGGATGAGCAACGGATCATTACAAAGTTATTCGCTGGCTGCTTTCTCTTGCCGTGGAGGGCAGTCAGTCATCATTCACTTCTGTGTAGACAAGCTTAGCGAGTTGCAAATCTCTATCGTTGGTGAACTTACTTCGGCCATTGCTTTTGTATACTTCTTTACAAGTTTGAGACCAGCTGGGCGTTACTTGGCGGAGTAAGCAGAGGTTTTTTTTGCCATCTCAGGGGCCTCTAATTTTAAACCTTTTAAACAGCTTTTCATGACCCTTTCTGGACTTGGCTCTCTAACTATGTGAGAGCTTCCTCGTTGAGTTTCCTACTTTGTATCTAGCCTTCTTTGAAACAATTTTAGCTGCTTTCTTCAGCACTTTTGGTCTTCCCCTTCATTTCTCCATGATCATTTTACCACCCAACATTCGGATTTTTCCAGTTTTTTAGCAGTTTCTACAACAGATAAGCCAGTAAATCGAAGTATACATGCTTATGCTCTCACCTAGCTGAACTTTTTTGAGTTAAGGGGGTTTATCTTTCGTGATATTCACAAAATACGAGGAAGGAGTTCGAGCAATTCGCGCTATAAAATACAAAAAATATGTGGCTAGAAAATATACTCGGGCACAGGCATCTTTGGTGCGGGAGTACACAAATCGAATATTCGATTCAAATAATGGCACAACAAGTATGAAAATAGTGAATTAGATTGAAAGACACAACTTTTGTTTCAATGATTTGCTTAACAAGTAGAGGAACGAACTTTTGGGACACCCTGTAGAGTAAGTGAAAAATAGGGTCTTGAGATCAGTCTCACTCTCTACTAATCGCTAACCAGCTCCGAGATCCTCAGTCCCTAATTATATGGAAATTTAGATTAGATTAATCAAAGGACAAAATTTAAAATTGCGTTATCGGTGTTTCGCCACCTTTTTTTGCGTTGATGGGGTGTGGACAGTCCCCCAATGTCCCCCTCATTATAATACCAGAAACCCTTACGGAGTGTAATACATTCTTCCCGTAATTTATAAATGGAAAAAGAAAACAAACTTGTTATGCATTCTAACAACGTCTTTCAATATAGCAAGATTCGAACACGAAAACGAAATGCGAAGAAAAGCATTAAAACAGAAAAAAAAATTGGAATCCAGCCCTTTCTGGAATCCGGAATCCACTGGGCTGGAATCCGGAATCCACAGCGTGGAATCCAGAATCCAAGACTGTCATGGATTCCCTTACATGGGGCGACACAAATCTTCGAACAGTCAAGCGGTACGAGGCAAGTATGTGTATCGGTCTTTTTTCTTTTCTGATCATTGTATAATTTAACAAATAGATTCCATGTTGCCGTGGGTCTGTTCAGTAATAGATCACAGAGGACGTCAAAATGTGGTAAAAACATCACTGACACACTCGCCTGCGGCTCGTGTGCCACTTCTTTGTTTTTACGACATTTTGACGTCATCTGTGATCTATTACTGAACAGACGCACGGCAACACGGAATCTATTTGTTAAATAGTATATATATAGACGAGTAGCTGAACTGTTATAACACTGAAGCATTAGGGTGTATATCAACAGTATGATCATGTGATGATAACGGTTACATATAACGTTTGAAATTTAAATTTTTAAAAATTTTAGAATGAAAAGTGCGCGCATGTTCTTAATCGCCTACAACTCTTATACGAAACCTATTAGTCACACTAAATGCTCGCGCTAAAATCTCTGTCGAGTTGTTTCCTTAGACAAGGAACTTTACTCCACTTTGTCTCTCTTCAGCCGGGTGTATAAATGGGTACCAGTGACTTGCTGCTGGAGGGGGGGGGTAACCCTGCAATGGACTAGCATCCCTTCCCGGGGGGGGGAGGCTAGCAATACTCCTAGGCATGCTTCATGTTAAGGAAACCAGAATAAGCTCTGGCCGTATGGGCCTTTGGCTCGTGTGCACCTTTACCTATTAATGAGAAGAAACCTCTAATTAATAAGCCAAGGACATCCCCTTCCACACAACAGTGCACTTCATTAAGACAATGACTTCTTGAGATGATGCTAATTTAAAGTGCCGATAGGAACTGTTTTATCTAAGGTCTGGAACGTTTCAGACAGCTAGATAGTAAGGCAGTGAAAGTTATAGTCAAGCCAGGTCATGTTTACCCCCGAACATTCCATTAATGAATCCATGGGTGCTTTTCATGCAACCCGAAAATCCGGAAATTTTAGTTAGTACATCAAATGGAACCAACCATTTTGGTTTGGTTCAACTGGAATACTCGGGACCAGCCTTGAAGGTGGTCCACTCTGACCGGTCTAGTCATTTCAGTTGGTCGGACTGAAATGTCCCTTTCCATTTGACAAAATTGTGTCTACCCCAATGCCGCTCTTTTGTATCCTGCTTACAAGCACAATACCCAAACGTGCGGTGGCTTGGGTGGGGTCTGTGCAACCGGAATGTACCATTCCATTGGGCACATGAAATTTCCGAAATTTCAAACTGGAATTTTTGTTGAAGTCATTGCTGCAACCAGTTTCAAATTCAAATCTGCACGCCTAATGAGCAGTGATTTTTTTTAGGATAACTTCTCTGTATTCAGTCAGATTGAAAAATTTAAAAGAGTCATAACTACCTCAGGTGTGAATTCACTCCTCATTAAGCATGCAGGAATGCAGAGTTGAATCTGAAATCTACTGTACAACTAACTACCAACGGATTCAACTTTTGAATAATAAATTCATTTATGCAACCTTTGGGGGGGGGGGATATGCTTGACCTGGCTTGACTGTAAAGAAATTCAGGAGAAAAACTGCAGGTACATTAGGTGAATAGAATGTTGCTGCAGTGTTTTACCTTTTTAACAAAACACTGTGCAGATGAACTTAACTGACAACAAAAATAATAATAAATGACAAATTTATTCCAATAACTACATATTATAAATCATAATGATCAATAGCCTAACTACTAAGCTGTACAAGTTCTTTTTTGCCACCTAGTGTGTTGTGTGCACAAAAAGTGATGAATTTTATAAATAATTAAGGCTTGTGTCCTGAAATATTGCTTGTCACACTCGTGCTAAGTTGGATCTCACTTCCCACCGCAAAGCTTGCCGTTTCTTTTCTGTAGGAACTACATAGTTGTTGGGGACATAATTTCGTTGAGGTTTCTAAAAAGGAAAGATAATTAAACACCATGAAGGTGGTTAGAAATAATTATAAAATAAACCATCAAACTTAGACTGCAAAACAGTCTGCATTTCATGCGTATTCAAGTCACACATGAGCAGTCACACAAAAGGTCTGGAGCGAGGCTGAAAATGGAGAGCTCGCGCTTCACGCATACGAGACTCTTGAGCTACGCTAAACCAACATCAAACTGTAATCTGCAGACAACCACAAAAGTAAAAGTCGAAATTGTAACTCCTTCCACTTACTATTAATACAATGTTAATTCTCCTTCTAGTTTGGCTTGTATTTGCTTTTTAATCAAAGGGAGAATTCGATATTAAATCAGGAGTCACTTGAGGCCTTACTCATTGCACCCCTTTACTGTTATAAATACTACTTATATTAATGTTATTGATTTTATACTACTACATGAGAAATTTCTGCAATTTGATTGGGTTAGAGCAGTGGTATTTCAACTCAATTTGAAATACCTACATGTGAAAAACCTTTGAAAAACCTTTGGGTGTAGTAGTATAAACAAATAATAGTATGATTTGTCCATGATTTCTGACATAAATACCACTCATGATATTTCAAGATTGTCTCAAATTTCACTCGCCTAACGGCCCATGAAATTACGTATAATAATTTCAAAATATCACTCGTGGTGTTTAATATGCCAAATATGACTAAAAATCATGCTATTACCTGTACTAATACTATTATTATAAAAACGAAGCCTTTATTTTCACTTACCTCAAACACATCACACTGCAACATTTTTCCCTTTTGGAAAAAGAACAAAAGATGACATTAATATTAGTTCCAAGAACTCAGACACATTTGGCTGCACTGGATAATTTCCCTAATCTTAAAGAATCTGAATGATTCCGTAAGACTGATCTGGAATAATGAAAATAGTAACATAATCACTCATTACCCGGACATTCCAGCGAAGATTTTTGTGGCTTTTTTCTCCAGGTGCTTTTTTCGCTTTCCATTCATCCTTAAACTGGTGATACCTGATAATGAAATATATGTACAATAACAACATGAACATGTTTATATTTTTAAGGAAATGAAAGGTTTGGTAGAAATTATTAATATCCAAGGTAAATATTTCAAACCTTGACACTGGATCAGTCTTCTTTCTCGAGAGAGGAGGACCAACGACAGGCCTTATAACTACAAAGAAAAGTAATGGGTTATAAACCAATAAAACAAATACACAAAATTCCTTACGGTTGAGCAAGACAACTATCACCATTCATTAAACAAATTCAGAGTCCTCCAGAGGCTGTCATAAAGTTTTGAAGGAGCCCTGGCAAGCGAAGATTCACCTGTAACATCTCACAAAAAATTTACAGTGTAATCTCTAGCTTTCCTCTGTGATCACCTGTAACATCAAGTGAGATCAGCCACAACAGGTGTTACATGTTACAGCCCTTAATGACAGCTTTGCCTTCCTTGTGAAGGTTCTTCCAGTTACTTCAACAAATGGATACTTTTAATAGGCTATGCTTGAAAAATATTTACATACAAAACAAAAACAAACATCACCACAAAACAGTGTACATTGCCTATTACAGTATTACAGTGTGGACACCAAGGTGCGCCAAAACCTATGTCCGATTGTCCTGGACAGTTAGAAATTTAGTTCGGACATTTGCCTTTGACATGACTTTTCCGTGAGGCAAGCACGTTTTTACATTTGTAATTAGAAAGTTGCCTTCAAATTACAGTAGAATTAAAATTCATCTTAAAAGTCATAAATTAAAGCAAACCTTATACTTGACAAAAATAAGGTTAATTTCCTTTAGGATTTGGACAAAACGCAAGTGAAATTATTCCCTAATTTCACGAGTATACCATTTGATTACCTATTAATATCAGGAGTGACGAATTACGTTAGCAATCTTGGATTTTTGAGATGTTTATCCTGGATCGTATCGATCGAGAACTCCACTCTCTCAAATGTTTAGACCTTAAATTTGGCTTATAAAGTTCAGAATTTTTCAGAATTTTTCGGCAAAATGCCTGAAAATCCTTCTTGATGCTCTCTTGTGTGTTCAGGTTTTCTAAAGTGTCTTTTTGTGCCCTGACATCTTTATTCACGGCATTTTAAAACTTCCTCGCCATCTTGACACTGAGACGTACGGAAGGTTGCTATGGCAATTTTGTAATTTCACATGTGAAATTACAAATTAACTTCACGCCAAAATTAAGGAGTAATTCGTCACCTATGATATTACAAGGGTAATAATGTGATTAAAAACATTAAATGCCCGATTGTTTTTGAGTTTTGAGTTTCAAGCTAAACTTTTTTTGACAAGAAATCTTGGTTTTGGACAACCAAATTTATTATAGTGCTTGTCTGAAGGACATGTGGATAGGAAAAGTTTTACTCTTACTGGAAAGGTGGAAGAAGATTGTCCAATCACAACATTTTCTGAAGACAAAAGATACTCAAGTTTTTTTGGAAATGGACCAATAAAATTCAAGTCTTCAACTATGCAACCATTGAAAACTTTATAACCATTTGACCTTACCCGACCTCTCAGGAAACAGCCCTCAAATTTATGAATTATTTTTATTGGTCTGTTTGCAAAAAAAACTTGAGAATCTTTTGTTTCCAGAAAACATTGTGATTGGACAGTCGTCTTCCAAGTTTTCCGGTTTTGAGTGTCTGTAACAAATTAAACCAATAACTAGTCTTGTTGGTGATGTACCAGTACAGTTTATTGATAAACTTACATGAAGGTAATAAAGCTCTGTCAGCATGATTTTCCCATGGTCTGTAATCACTTGGCTCACTAGATCCTTCACTTGCTACACTGATGATATCTTCATCATCAGCCTTGTCACTATGGAGTGGAAGGTCCCGTATTCTCTGTTCTAATTCAGATATGTCTGTGACTAAAAATAACAAAAAGATTTACCCAAGGCTAAAAGCGAAGATCCTGTTAATAAATTATAATTTACTACAAACAATAAACTTGTAATCATCGCAAAGAAATCTTTTTGGAGTTGAGCCTAGGATCAGTTGAAAACTAGTAACTCGTCAGCGGATAACTTCAAAAAAACATGTAACATGTTATTTTGTATTGTAGCCCAGATGGTATCGGTAACAAGGGTTAACACAAGGCCAATTTTTTATTATTTAATTATCTATTGTACAGTATTTTAATGACAAAAACTCTATATTATGCTGAATGGTCCCACAGCTCTTTTCATTTGTTATGTTTGTACACCTGGAATTTGTTCCCACAGCACATATATGTGCAGTAAAAAAAGTTAGGAAAGACACTGCAGCCAATTCCACTTCAGTAGAATTGAACTTACCAGAATCAGTGCTAGCAAATGACTCATCAAACACTCTTGATTCCCCATTTCTTCTTCTCAACACTTTCCTCTTTACATTTCTACTGCTTAGCCCTGATTGCTCATTAGGCGAACTCCCCACAGTGGAGGTTGATTCTGCTCTGACTGAAGGACCATTCACTGGGTAATAACGTGATGCATTCTCTTTACCAAAAGCCTCATGACTTGCCTAATTTTTGTACAGAAGGAGAATTACTTAAATGTACCTTTTTCAGGGTATTTATTAGAAATTAGAGATCAGAGAATTACCCGTTTACTACACAGAATTCTTCCACTAATGTTCAGTAGCCTATTATTCCAATGTAGAGCCTCTTTCAAAATATTCTTCTGTAATGTTACACTTTTCTCCTGCTACTTGAATTCTTAACGAAAACGTTAACTTTCTGTCATAATGTTATATGTCTTTTGTGTGTAAGATAATTCAATCTTATCACAGAGATAAGTTTGTGAACAGTAAATGTTTATTTAATGGGTTCAATTGAACAGCATGCAAGGGGTTGTTTATATAAATAAAATAATTTTAATGACTGTTGTAAATACGTGCAGTACTACCTTGCAATCACTTTTATGTTTTTAGCATTTTGGTTAGAACTTACAACGATAATCAATAATTAGGAGGGCCAGAAGTTTGGTGACAAGGTTTTGACCTTATAATGACGTGGCAACTTATCATCAACAATACCAATGGCATGCAATTGCCTACCATCATAGCTGACCTAAAGTACGACAAGAAACATACTGATGACCATTAGTCTTAGAGGTGAAGACAATAAAACATACTGTAAAATTCTGAAAATAAGCCCCTCCATGTATAAGCCCCTATAAGCCCCCCAAAATCACAACGCAAAAAACCCTCCGTTAAATCGCCCCCCCAAATATAAGCCCCCCCGGGGGACTTGTACTTGGAATTTGCCCTCGAATACAAAGTAAAGCAAAGCAAAAATGGTAAATTTCCTTCCAACTATAACGCTAGCCCAATCGATTTTCAAACTCAAATTTCGCTATAGATAAGCCCCTTTAAAAATAAGCCCCTCAAAAAGGGCCTTTGAAAAATATAAGCCCCGGGGCTTATTTTCGGAATTTTACGGTAACTTATTGGGACCACAGAAAAAGGTCACCACAACTGCTGAGAGAGTGACTGCTTAAAGCAAGCCCATTAATAGAGTGTTTTCGCTCACGTGGCCAGCATCTATGCAAATTTATTGGAACAAAAGAAAGTGTTTGCATAACAACAGAGTTCAACTCCCACATGATTGGTTTGGGACACCAACATGGCCGCTGCTTCATTGTTTTGGGACACCAATATGGCCACCATGATGATGTGAAAACACTCTATACAGTAGAACCCCATTAATACGGTCACCAATGGGTAAAAAAAAACTAGCCGTGTTAACGATGTGGCCATATTACAGGGTTCTCAATAGATTTTTAAGTAGGAGGTGATCACTGATAAAGTAGGAGGCTCTTCAGCAAAGCCAGAGGTGTCAAAACAAAGCAAAGGGACTTAAACAAAAACTATAAATCCCAAAGCGGTGATCAACGGTGGTGCCTTCTATTGAGAACCCTGATATTATCGGGCAGGTTCAAATTTCATGACTTTAGGGCCATAATGACAAATAGAGCATACATCGCATTTGCATTTTTTGAACAACTTACTGTTCTCATTAATAAACAACTGGAAAGTACATACCACGTAAAGTAATTGAAAAAACTACTTCAAAATTTTTCCTTCAGTACATGAAACTCTTAAAATTTGGCTATAAATCGCCACCAGTGCATTTTACGTGTACTGTAGTCCAAAAACAGTACAAAAATAAGCTCATATTACTTGGTCAAGAAAATTGACAAGTCACAGGCATTTCAATTTTCTAAATTTCGAACGATTGGCCATATTAACAGGGTGAAATTATAAGTGATTCTACCATTTGGGATTTTAAAATGTGGCCATTGGTCGTATTGATGGGTGACCACATTTTTTATAAGGAAATGTATGGGCATTTTGCTGGGACAAAAAATTGGCTGTAAAAACGAGGTGACCACATATTACCGAGGTGGCCATAAGGTGGGGTTCCACTGTACAGGTTTGACGCTATTACTGGTTCTTACCTTTGTCACATGGGCAACTGATTTTGGTCTTGGAAACACAGTATCCTCAAGAGGATATCGGTATCTATCAGGCACAGAATGTCTCTCTTTGATGCTGTCTAAAGCTAAATGAGAAAACACAAAAATAAACATTCTTTATTATCGTGTTAAAGATCCCTTTGCAACTGAAACAACAACTGTTTAGGGCTTAAGACAAGGGTGGAAAGATGTCTAACATTTTGGGCTAAGATGGGAGTAGTTCAGTTAAAATGCAAGTGCGATTGATCAAAAACTTTTTAAACAAGAGGTTTGCTTGCAGATGAAAAAAAGCTTTAAGTTAGATCTCTAACCTCGATCACAAAATAACCTTGCCCCCACAAGCGAGCAACCAAGACTCACCCCATTCCAACCATTCTCGTTCCCAACTTCAACCTTATTTATTAAAAATGGTTTACAATAGACTGCCGTGCAATCCCCACATCTATTTAAGGAAATTAGAAAACAAAAAGGAATTGAAAGAGAGTTGGAAGGCATGCTATTTTATACATACAAATTATTAATAACTGTTAATCCAACTTTCAAATTATCAATGGCATCTTAAAATAGTCATTTTCTCTATTAAAATATCGGAGAGCAAATCCCTGATTTACATTTGTAAATTCCTTTTTAGGAAGATCCCTAATATGACAGGGTATCTCATTCCAAAGTTTTACGACAAAACAAGAGAGGGAGTTTTGTGTTTTTCCAGCTTTGAAGTAGATGACAGGGCTGTACTCTAAGACTAGCAGAGCCCGGTGGCCCCTGGCACCCAACTTTTGTTCTTGGGTGACTAGACTTCTTAGACTTCTTAGTTTTTTAATACAAATCATATGGAGGGCACCCTAGATTTTACAAGTTTATAGCACTGGGCTCCCTTCAATTGTCCATAGAGCATAGCCTTGGATGATCATGAATAATTTTACAAATGAATTGACAAGGTTTTTCAAATAAATTTGGGAGATTTGGTGGCGAATTGTTGTTACTGATATCGTGCATTATATTAGCGGAGCTAACCAAAAGGATCGCAGCTCTGAGAACGAGAATCGACTCATCCCATGGCCCATGTTCTAAGGGGCTTTACCAACCCGCATCCCAACTAAGGTTGAGTTGTGACAGGTAAATATATATTTGCATACCACTTGTTGAAGATGACGAAATTTCATCTCTGCTCCCATCTAAGTAACTATCAGTGTAATAGCTGTCACTAGTGGAAGAGTTAAAATGCCCCCTTCCTCTTGATTTTGCTCTTTCAGCTTCAATAAGATGCTTAAGGTCTACAAGGCAAAAATAACCAGGTGCAATATAATTGTAAATATTTAAACTAGATCGAGAGTGTCAAAATGTTTGGTTGAGAGAATACTTCTTTCAGCAAAACAACAAAAATAGAGTCAAACTGTCAGGCTAAGTTTTAGGCCTGGGCCCAGATGTTCGAAGGCCGATTAACGCTTAACCAAGGGTTAAAACCCCAGTTTTCTTTTCTTTTGTTCAAAAGCATTTTTCTCACTGGATAATTTTCTCTGTTATTTTTAGGAGCATCCAAACATCAACTCATTGACAAAAAGAATTAAACTGAATTTACTTTTTAAGCTTTCATATCTGAATTCAAATTTCACTCTAACCCTGGGTTATCTTAACCCAGCTTTGAGCAACCCGGCCCTGGTTCCTTGAAAAAAGTTTAAGCTAGGATTAAGTCAAATTTTAAGCAAGGGTTTCTTGTCTAAAAACATGCAACTCAAGCAAGTTAAGTTAAAGCCTGGTCACCATATGATTGTCCCGATCGCCCCAGTCATTAAAAAAAATTTTAAGATGATCTGGGCGACTGGTAGTTTCCACATAATCGTCTCGACAGCCTCAAAGAAAAGAGACGCGGGGTCATCAGCGATATCTCTGGGTGAGACAATAGAATTTTTGCGCGTGTTTTGCAAACAAGCCAAACGTAACAAAGGATTTTGCCCTGCTATCTGCTTTTCCTCTCGATTTTGCAGCGTCAAGAAGCTAGAAGAGTTCCACAAAGACATAGTATCACAGTGAGAACGTGATGTCATGAACTTTCTTTAGTTTCAAATAGTGCCCATACGTAGTGCACACATTTTTGTATTATTTTTTCGACTCCAACGGAGTCCAGGCCAAATGCATTCTTGACTACTGGATTAAAAGTGATGATTTCTAGGATAGCCTTCGATCATCCCGATCGTTTCAGTTGTCTGAGAGCATTTCAATTTGATCGCTTCAAAATTTACACGATTGTCCCAATTGTCCTGATCTCAACTCAAGGTCGTCCGGGTCGTTTGCGATCGTCTAAGTAGCTTTTCCATATGATCGTCTCAATCGTCTGAACATTATTTGAGACGACTGGGACGATCCGGACGATCATATGGAAACCAGGCTTTACTGTTTGTCCTCTAGCTCGAGATACAGACAAGATAATGCAGGGATACAGCCTCAAAGTGGCAGGGTATTCTTCAGTTACTCCTAGTGCATTTATGAAAGAAAGGAGCTCTGAACGTTCATACATCTAAAAGTAAAACAAAAAACAAAGATGCATGATCGATTGATTACTAAGCTCGCGATCAAATATGCTTCTTGCAACTTCCAAACTCTACAAAGCTATAACAAACCTCTTTGAAACTCTTTGAGCTTATCATCAGGTATGTTTGAATATCCAAGTTCTTCTAGCTTTCTTCTAATCTCCTCCTCACCAAATTCGTAGCTTTGTGCCATGATTTTAGTTGAACAACGTTCACTGTTCACTGAAAAATGTTTTGGAAAAATGACTAACGGTAGGTTTCTAGTGCCCAGGCCGGCCCGGACAAATAGGCACGTGGTTCTTGACGTAAACAAAAATGCCGGGGCTTTAGGTGGCGACGTTTGTTGGATTCGAACCCGCGTCAAACTCACGTGAATTTACTTATGGCTCAAATTTCATAAAAACTCTCGTCACACTATAGTTTCTTTGCAGACGAGAATAGTCGTGGACTTGTGTAAACGGTGAAATCTGGTGGCAAGGTACGGTGTGTTTTCATGATTGCATTCCGGCATCGGCTTTTTTAACGCGCCAAAAATAGCTCAAACTGGGGCTTCTCCTTTTAAATTTGCGACTTTTTGTGCTTATCTATTGCAGGATTTCAGGCATCATGTTTTTGCCGGTTTTCGCTGTGGCTTTGCTTTGTCAGACGGCTACGTCTTTTAGTATTTTCAGGTAATGATACCTTTTCTTGCATCTGAGAGACTACTGTGATTCAATTAAATGCTTCAATGAAACTGCAAATTAATTATTGCGTTAACGGTAATAAATTTCACTTACGTGTTGACTCAAGATTCTTAAGAGAGAGGAACTGAACGGAAATGTTTATTGATAGCGTATTAGAGTTTGCATTTGAGTATCCAGCCGACCGGCCGGCTGTTCATGGCTTGGATATATGTTCACTTTAAAAGCTTTATATAAATTCAGTTACTTGCAGCTCGTAATTAACTGCTCGAGCCAGCGAAGGGTGAAAAAAATTGAGGGCTTAAAAGTTTCTGACTCCCGTTTCCGGGGTATAGATCTTTGCGGAAATGTTCCAAAGATATTTCTTTTAAAACGAGAAAAGTTTGTAAAAGAGGTCTGTTGTTTAATGTAAGCGCCTGGAAATATTTCTTCTTGCATTGTATGCATTCTCCCATGAACATTCACAGGGTTGGATGGGAAAACATCTGGGACTGCGCTCACCGGGAGGCCTGTTCAGATGCAGAAGTTTCATTGAATAGTTTTTTAGCTAAGGTGGGCATTCCAACGTTGAACTAAGTTGGAAATACAGTATTTATCATATTTGATCATCATTTTCCCATTCTTTAACACCTTTCAAGCAGCAAGTTTACCAGAAAACTCAGTGCTTTGGTTTGGGGCTTGCTCAGCTCTCTTTCTTTGGTAGTTCAGGGTTGCCTGGGGAGGGGCTTACCTGTCTAGGTATACATCTGGAAAAGTGTTGGCCAATATACCAAAATCTCCCTTAATAACTGTAAACCCCAAAGAAGACACTTAATACCCCCAAAGCCTTGGCTGACATCTGGTACATGGTTTTATTTTATTACATCATGATTTTTTTTCTAACATTTGCTTGTGATCTTTGGTGAAGAATAATTGTTGCATGACTTACCCAAAAGTTTAGAGACAATAGATTTATCTCAGTGGTCTGCAGACATGCCTGGCAGACAGTTTGGTATCTCATTCCAGGCTGTATAACACTGCTCCATTAAAAAGGGGATTAAACATCTCCTCTTTTAATAAGTATTAAAAGGAATGAAAGTGTAACTAAGGCCCAGTTCAAACATTGAACTTTCAAACCTAATTATTAAGTTTGGCACATGTAAATTACAATATGTGAATCAATTAGGATAATAAATTATAAACATTTGAATTTGGCGGGTCGTCCCACAATATATATTCTATTATTGACCGATCATGAGCTCTTCCAATAGAAATTGGCAAGAAGTCAACTTTGTTGAACTTCACATTCTGCTGAACTTAATTGCATAAGTTATGTTCATGTATTCCTTCAATAAAACCATTCTTTTTAGTTGTAGCCAGTTGTTTTCCGTGCATTTGTGGACAAAACTCACAGTCTAAGCACATTAATATGATGTTGACAGCACTCTCATTGAAGATTTTGAGTCTAGTCCAGACTGAAACTGCAGGGAAGTTAAAAACAGTCTTTGAAATCTCTCTTTGAAGCTATATCCGTAGTCACAAACCTGCATTCATTTTCAGCAGAACAGATGCTGTCGATGCAGACTTTAACCTGTTTATCTTAACCCAGTGGTGGCCTCAGACCATGTGTTATGATCAAATGGTAAGTTTTTCCTTCATCTATCTCTTGATTATTCTAACACAAGATAGGTATTTTAATACTATTTGGAAAAGGCAAGATGACACTCTTGAATTTGTTTGGTATGACCTGCCTATTAAACCCAGGGAAACTCCCATATGAATAGAACATTTGAGGATGCCCAACAATTTTGGTCTCATATATTTTACCCCTAAGAAAATGAAAAAAAGAGATTTAATCGCTGGCTAGGGTAGTGTTTAAAGAAATAAGTAAATAGGAAATCAAACACATCTTTACGATAAATGTTATGTATTATTTTAAAATAATGAAGATAGTACGCATGTTCTGATTGGTTAGCAACCTATGGTTTATTGTGCTGGTAAACTCATAGAAAACCGAAAAATTTGCCGTTTTACTTTAAGTTTTTTTATAAAAGCAATAGACCGCACTTTCTATGGGTTTACTGGCGTGATAACCCACTTGGGATGTTGGGAGAACATGAGAAAAGCTTGTAAAACACTCACCTTCAGCTCGTGATTCACAAGCTTTTCTCATGTTCTACCAACGTACTGCATGGGTTATCACGCCGGTAAACCCATAGAAAGTGTGGTCTATTGCTTAAGTATAGTATACAATATTCAACATTTTATTCGCAGTTTTGGTTCTGGAAATTGACTGCCTGTTATGGTATAGTCTATTTTAGGAGTATAAAACCTGAGCCACACCCCGATAGTTCTTCTTTTATGGGTTTAAATCTTTATTTACTGGTGAGTATCCCTATCCTTTTCATGGGAGAGTCACCGCAACTCCCACCCCTAAAACTCTTTCCCTTGTTTTACAGGCCAATAAAACTCCATTATTTTCCATTATACTTGGCATCTTTTGATATTATTTTAGCTTAACTTGTTAACATGGTGAAATATATGCACTTATATTTTATAATGGTAGGTTGCTTAAATACATGTATAAGTGCCACAGTGAGCATAGAATAATTTATTAAAAGAAACTTTCTTGCCTGATTTTCCAGCTGAGAAGCATATCAATCCAGAGTCAAACCTATATGGTTGTACTTTTGAAGTTGCCGTGTTTGCATACATTGATCTGCACAGGCCTGACTCAGTCAGGCATGTTTCATTCCAACGTGCATTCACAAGTATCAGTATCTTATTTGACCTATTCATAATTCTTTTCTGATCTGTTTTAACTTGTAGACTGAAGAGAACTTCAAGCGCATTAAAATGAATCAAACTAAAAGCTGTGTGCCTGAAGGAGTCACCAAGTGGACAATTCATGGATTATGGTACTATTTGTAATAACCTTTGTATCGTATATAATTAATGTACAGATTTAGCCAAGGCCAAAAGCAATTTAGCTCTCACTGGAAATTGTTTTCTCGGCCTGCGCCACATTGGTAGGAGGCAAGTGCTCTCACAACTGCACGGAGTGCACTGTCCGTTGCTCCCCATTTTGCTTTCTTATGTTAATGTATGGCATATTTAACAATTATTTCTAAAGCCCGAATATGCATATTTAACAATTATTCCTCGAGCCCGAATGGGCTCTGAGTCAATAGCCTATGAAGCCTAGGCCCGATAATAAAAAAAAAATTAGCTAGTTAAAGCTAGACTTTAATCCTTTTTTGCTGCCAAAAAGCCTGAGCTTTTCGCTACTAGTGGGCTATGACATATAGCCTAGTAGTAGCTCAACCATTCAGAACACAACATTGATCATAGACCATTAGTTGGATTTTACGGAAATGAAATATTGCTTTCTTTTTCTTTTTTTCTCTTTTCTACCTAGATCCTTTTTTATTCACCCCTCTGTTAGCTTCTTGTCACCAATTATTTCCATTATTTTTAAGCACCTTAACCCCCCTCCTTCCCCCCACACACATACACCTGTCACATACTAACATACCTGATTACTTTTCCCATTCTCACTGGTACCCTCCTTAATCCCTTACCCTCTGCATTATTTTTATTGATTATTTTCTAATGACAAAAAACTTTGATGCACTGATTTTTGTGGGTTCATCCTACAGGCCTACGATTGGTACAGAACACAAACCAGAGTACTGTAATGAATCATGGCCCTTCAATGAATCAGTGATACAGGTGACCTAACATTTCTACCTTATTATAAGAAATTAACGCTTCATGAAATAAACATAAATTTCAAAAATTTGCATTAATTTTTGGAAATGTATATTTCTGTGCAATTGATTAAATGGAACGGTGATTACAGCAACCTTAATTTCCATTCCTTTTGCCCCAAATTCTCAATACACTTCTGACATTCTTGACACCTAAGAAAGAAAAACATTTTTTTCAGGGTGTAGATGATCTGCCAGAAACAGTGAAACAGTTCTTCACTTGACCCTTTTGTACATTCAGGGAAAGAACCACAAAAAAAGTTCCCATTTTGGATTATACAGTCATTTACCTTAATGTTCCTATTGTCTTGACAAATTTTGCTTTTTTGTGGGTGTCATTAAATTCATTTTGAAAATCTTACTCCCTCTTTCATATTAATTTCAGTTATTCAAAAGTTGTTTTCCATCAACTTTGCATTATTTTAAGTCACATTGATTTCCAATACCTTAATTTCCAATACCTTAATTTCATGGAGCATTAATTTCCCATAATAAGGTATACACTTTTTATCATTTTTTTTCTTCTTTTTTTCCTTTGCTATTTTGTGCTTTTGTCCTCTAGACGGATAAGATACTTCTTTGTTGATATTTCTTGTAAAATAAGTTAAGCATGGGACTGTGCTGTGTTTGTCACTGGTGAACTATTTTTTAGAATTGTTGTGAAAATTTTGCCTTTTCCAGGATTTGTTGCCGAAACTTGAACGTCAATGGCCAACTCTTGAATCAGGCCAACAAAATGCGGAATTTTGGTATGAAATTTTAAACATGGATTGGCAGTTAATAATGTTCAATCCAGTTTTCAGTGTTTCAGCTGAATTCTCTCTAATAAATTACTTGTCTTGTTAGTCAGTTTATGTCTTGTCCTAGTCAGACAAAATGTCATTTGTAAATGCTTTGTTTGTAGTGTAAATGCTTTCAGCAACTCTGAATACTTACAGGCACCCCAATGTAGTAATAATTAACAATTAATGAATGAGGCTGAGTATCTTATGAAGAATTATGGAGATTGAGGAGGGTGTTATCACCCTCCCAGATCTCCATAATTCTTCATATGATACGAAAGCCGAATTCAATAATTTATTGTTTTATTATTCATTCAAAATAGTTTCTAGTTTACATGTAAAAACATGGCTAAAACATTCTTACCTCCATTGATCCATCGATGTTAAGTTCACCTTCGATGGTGAACGTTTAGGGTTGTTCAGCCCAGCAAATATTCTCCAAATAGCAGATGTCGCCCTTCGAGTTGTCTTCTTGCTGTTCTTGCCATGTTTTTAGCTAATTTTTGCCTAGTTCTTTCTCTTGAAACCAGTGAAATGTCCGCGATTTTTCAATCACAACCAAAACAACTCAACCTCGTCCGCAGGTCTTCTTGGTTAACCGTGCATTAACCTGTAGAAGGCTGCATTTTTGACGTCATTTCCTCGTTAAACACAAAATTCTTCCAAGTTTGGTCATCAGTAAATGGTTATGGTGAATTATGCGTGTGCTTTTAGCCAATCAGAATTGAGGAAATATTTTGAATGAATAATAATTATGATTAAAACAGACAATCCAAAGAGAACAAAACAGATTTAAGAGATACCCAACCTGAAGATTCTCCCTTTGCTTTACACCCCATCCCCACACACCACCACAAAAGAAATCAATGATTAAACCTCCCCCACCCCTCTGATAAACACAAATTGGCCCAGTCCCAAGTTCATCTGGCCTGCAATGATATTGTATCACTGTATTTACTCGATTAAACGCCGCCCGTCGGTTGAACGCCACACCTATGCGTTTTATCAAGGAATAGAGAAAACATTGCTACATCTTGGTAATCTACACCATCCAGACAATTACGATTCCTTTTCAGGAAATAACTTAGAACATATTTCTGTTTCACATAACATTTACAAATGATTTACTGAATGATTTAGTGATGTAAGAAATGTGATTTGAAATAAACGCTGCATTGGACAGATCAGAAATGGGGAAAATCTAATAATCGACGCAGCGTTTAATTGAGTAAATACAGTCTTTGTAGTTAGCATACCAAGTGCTAGTCCTACTTTTTTGCAAAAACTTAATAAACAGATGAATTATTAAAAAAAGTGAAATAAATAAGTTTTTGGTCAGTTATTAGCTACACTTACCCCGTAAAAGGGAATCTGGATTCTGGAATCCAAGAAATGTTTGCTTGTAAAATCAGGAATCCTTGGGTTTGGAATCCGGAATTGAAGTTCCACTGTCAAAGGCCGGAATCCAGTACCTGGAATCTGGAATCCACGGTGTGGAATCCAAAGTCCAAGACTTGGATTTCCTTGTACAATTACACTTCATATTCTTATAGATAAAAAAAAATTATTGTCCGTAATTTCTTTCTTTCTTTTTTTTTTTTTTTTCGTCACAAAGGAAACATGAATGGGACAAACATGGAACTTGCAGTACCAATATTCCTTTTTTGAACTCAGAACACAAGTACTTTACAAAAACGCTGTCACTGAATGTCAAGTATGACCTATACAGGTAAGGTGTGGAACCGTCATACACACTTATGACGCAAGCATGAAAGGACGAGACCTAAGGGCCACAACGCAATTAAATTGTATAAAAGGGCAAAAGTGCACCCTAAAACAACTACAAAACATAGTTCTCACAAATGCTGCGCTGCTGCGCTTTGTAATAATCGTTCCGATAATAGCAAAGACTGGACGTTTCATGTGTTTCCGAAGAATCCTTGCCGAAGGTTGATTTCTCCACTATCCACTGCGCACGTTCATTTACTATAACTGCTCCAGGAATATCTTTTGAGGTGAATTTTAAATCACAAATCGCTCTTGTTTTCACCCCCTATTTACTTTTTTAAAGTTTGCGGGAAATCTTGTGGCCATCAGGCCTCGCTTTCATGTTTACGTCGTAAGTGTGTATTCAGTAAGTTCACATGATTGAGGGAATGGGGGAGAGGGGGAGAACGAATTAAGATTGAGATACTGGATCATTACACATTTCTGGGAAACTACCCACCTACCCCTCCCTAAAGCCAACATTTTACCCCAAGTGAGAAGTAGGGGAAGCCGAAGGGTAGGTGGACAGTTTCCCAGAAACGTGTTACTGAAGGTATCCAAGTCGTGGGTCCACGTCCTCCTTACATCTCTCCATTGGTAAATTTCATGTCGTAGTCGTGCTGCGGACCTCAAGGAAATGTACCATGTACCAAATGTGTGATACACGTGCACGTGCGCAATCTTAGTTGATCCGCGCTGCATCATGGGATACCTGAATAATCCCCCAGTGTGGGGGGCTGTTGTTTTGATAAGTGAACCTTTTTTTTCTTTTTTCCGGCTTTCTCTTCCGTCGTCTTTACAGTTATAAAAAAGAAAGCTTCTGCTACCAATGAGAAGAGCACTTTGTGATGTGTGCGCCCACTTCCTTAATCTCCGCTATCTCAGATCGATTAACTCGAGTCCGGACAAATTTTTGAACGGACAAAAAACGTGCACGGATCCGCCTTTCGTCCACACGGGCGTTACTGCATCAGTGGGCAGTTGTTCAGGCAGTCCTGCTTCATGGTGCTTCTTAGGTAGTTCTTGAGCCGTCTGAGCGCGGTAAATGTGCGCTCTGATGTCGCCGATGCCACAGGTAATGTCACTGGCGATATTTTCGGCGCCAAAACGTTGGACAGGCAGCCCCCCCTGCTCCACCCCCTATGATATTGTATTGAACACAGTTAAGAGAAAGTTCGATTCATCTTCTTCTTGCAGCGCTTATGTCATAATTACGATATTGTTTTGATCGCACATTTGCTGGGTGATAGGGTTGGGATTGCGTTTGTCGCTGTGATATTGTATTAATTCTTTTTTTTAATATTCACGGGTTAACTAGACAGCTTGCGTCTTAGCCAGCGAGCAAGCTCACCTATTTGGGCGAGCAAACGCGCGAGCGAGCCGGCAGAGAACGCGCAAGCAAGCAGCGAGAAGAGCTTGCTCGCAGGCTACTTGCGTCTCAACCTTGTTACAGTCAAACCAGGTGAAGCGTTCCCGTCGCTAACGAACTAATGAATTCATTCACGGAAAAATGATTTCGTTTGTTGATTCAATAACCCATTCATAAAATGAACAATCCAATATTCATATTTAGCCTCGATTCCATAGTCGAATGTTGATTCGATTACTGTTTTTTGAAAAACTACACTTTCCACAAGTTGACCTCAGAATTTTGTTTTTTCCTCTTTTTTTCTGAGAGTCGAGTGCTGGCGAGTTCTGAAGTTCAAACCCAAACAAACTGTTACATGTACGCCAGTTTGCTGCCAGTAATCAGTGCAACAGACCTAGGCCTGACCTCTTAGAAAACACAACGGTCAAACTGAGGTCAGTGTATGTGCGGTGATTGGTGGATTTCGATCCTCGGCCTTTGTCAGTTTCTTTGCGTTTGCGGTCTGTCTATTCTAGCTGTTATTTTGATTAAAGGCAATGAAAAACGCAATCGTAAAAAGCAGGAAAAAGGAAGCAAATACGATTGAACACGACAGACAAGAATAAAGAACAGGTAGATTTTGTTCATAAACCAAATCAACATTTGATTATTGAATGGAGGTCCAATTTGACTGTTGGATTATTCATTTTATGAATGGATTATTGAATCAACAAACGAAATCATTTTTCCATTAATGAATTCATTAGTTTGTTAGCGACGGGAACGCTTGACCTGGTTTGACTGTAACGAAGGTTACCCCGCTTGAAAATGAATATGAGAATGCGAGAATTCCTTGAGGATTGATAAGTTTTGTATCATTTGGTAAAGTATCGTTTAAAGATACTGAGTATAGCTTACCGTGTCCTCAGGAAGTACTGTTGCGGCGGCTAATGATGGGGTTTTATAAGATTTGTTAACATATGTGACTATGTTTCTTGTAAATAGCATCCTTAAACAGAGTGGAATTGTACCATCAGATGATGCAACATACCAGGTTAGGAGAATGATTTGATCTGCCTTTTTTACGATTTCAAACTCTGTCTCTGTTTATAATGGTTAAATCTGTACGTAGCTGTTTTTTTGAAAACGTCACCGCCAAATAGACCTCCTCCGATCAGTATAAAAACTAAGAGTATAACCCGGCATTACTTTTTTTTCTTCTCCTCCTTTCCTTCTCCTCACCCTCAGTTGCCGGCCATTTTTCCTTTTCTTTTGTCTTCGTTAGTGTAATTTAGGCCTTATTGGACGCGAAAAAAAACCCTGCCTATTTGGCTCTTTCCATTCTGCAAACAGTCTCGCTAGATTCCGCGTTTTCAAAAATCCGGCCTCATTAAAGGCCTTTGATGTCTATCCTACGTATGTGAAGCGGATATTTACGACCTTAAGATTTGTGAACAAATAAGACAGCTTTATTTATATATCGTGCTCTTTGGCCTTTCTCTTGAAATAAAATGTCGTGGCTCGTATTAAGTGTTGAATTTTTGCCTTTTTTTTACCTTTCTTTTTTCTTTCGCAGGTGAAGGAAATTCAAGGCGCCTTTTTTGACTTCTTTCGAGTTCGTTTCAGAATGACTTGCTACAAAACCGAGGTAACTCGCTCATATTGGCACGTTTTAGCTTGTCACGTGTTTTAGGGTTTACACTTAGTACCAGTTTGTTCCAACGTTTGATAGCGCAATCAACCTGGTAAGTATTAGGGAAACCAGTAGGACAATTGCACGATGACGCCGTTGTACCATAACAAGCATTATACTACTACATGAAAAATTTCTGCAATTTGATTGGCTTAGAGCAGTGGTATTTCAACTTAATTTGAAATACCTACATGTGAAAATTACAAAACCTTTGCGGGTAGTAGTATAAACAAATAATAGCATGATTTGTACGTGATATTTTTTTTGAGGCAAAATTGTCTCAAATTTTCTCTTGGAAATTACGTATAAAATTGAAAAACTCATCGTATTTATGCCAAAAACTACAAATCAAACGAATCCTTGGGTCTTCCCTTTTCTGTGAGGAAATTAAGGCTATTGTTTTTAGGCTATTTTCTTGGATTGGGAAATTGAATCAAGTAAGCGGAAACGAAATGAATTCTGGTAGGTGTAGTCATATGATGTCAACTTGAAAATGGCCCATTGCGTTTTCCACTGGATAGAGATAAAATACGTTGGATAACGTTATCCACTTTTTGAACAACGGGGGCTGATTGGTTGCTGAAACTAGTGGTCGCATTTCCAACCAATCAACAGGTGTGGCAACGCCAATGCAATCACGTAAGTGACTTGAAACGCTCCAACAGAGGTACCTTATTACATGAAATTTTCGCGACACGTTAATTTCGCGATTTTACGATGCGAGTATTTCGCGACAATTAAATTTCGCGATTTTGCGAAATTTTTGTACTTTGAATGACTTTAATTTCGCGATCTTTAGTGAGACGCTATTTATTTAACTTATCCTTCAAGCAAATAGAACAACCTCATTTACAATAACTTCAAAATTTATAACAAGAGGTGCAGCGACAGGTCTATATGAGAACAGTAACATCAAAGTTCTAACAATTTTCACACGAATTTTTCCGCTTGTTCGTTAATTTTAGTCAATTGACCATGATTTCCATAGCCGTTTGTGTAAATTCGTCCTTTCTTCATTATTAGCTGTTACTGATATATCGTTGTTCACTTAATTTTCGCGTTATGTTATGTTTGCGACAATTATTGTTCGCATCACTTTAATTTCGCGAATTTAAAAAAATCGCGAAATTTAAGTGTCGCGAAAATCTCATGTAATGAGGTATTTATGCGCAGCAATAGCGGCGAGTTTTTGCAGCGACATCAGTGCGATCTAAATGCGCTTTTATTATTATTATTATTATTAAATGTGTGTTCTATTAAATAATAAGTATATATACAAATATGACGGACAGAAATTGATAAACCGCGAGAATCGCCATGTAGTTACGCTAAACGTCGATCATCATCGAATTTGCTGCGCCTCACCTTCGATAACTCGTGCTGAAATCATCGCCTGTTTACAGTTTTGACCTGGTCCCTGTTGTTCAAAAGCTGCATAGCGCTATCCTTAGGATAAATCACTATCCAGCGGCTAAGTATTAGGGAAATCAATTGCGCTATCCACTGGATAGAGATTTATACGGTAGGTAGTGTTATCCACCGGATAAATCACTATCCAGCGGCTAAGTATTAGGGAAACCAATTGCGCTATCCACTGGATAGAGATTTATCCGGTGGATAGTGATATCCACCGGATAAATCACTATCCAGCGACTACGTATTAGGGAAACCAATTGCGCTATCCACTGGATAGAGATTTATACGGTAGGTAGTGTTATCCACCGGATAAATCACTATCCAGCGGCTAAGTATTAGGAAAATCAATTGCGCTATCCACTGGATAGAGATTTATACGGTAGGTAGTGTTATCCACCGGATAAATCACTATCCAGCGGCTAAGTATTAGGAAAATCAATTGCGCTATCCACTGGATAGAGATTTATACGGTAGGTAGTGTTATCCACCGGATAAATCACTATCCAGCGGCTAAGTATTAGGAAAATCAATTGCGCTATCCACTGGATAGAGATTTATACGGTAGGTAGTGTTATCCACCGGATAAATCACTATCCAGCGGCTAAGTATTAGGAAAATCAATTGCGCTATCCACCGGATAGATATTTATCCAAGGGGTAGTGTTATCCGCATTTTAAACAACTGTAGGTGGACAAATTTCCCATGTACCTCCCCTTGGCTCCGCAATTGACGCAAAACTGTGGAAACATCTTTCTTGGGCCGAACCAAAATGTGTATGGAAAATCTGAAATATTTTTCGTCGGCTGGAATCAAGATATGTTTTAGCCACAAATTGCTTCCAGTGGGTTCGAAAGGGAAGTCGCCTGTATAGACCGTCTGCGATTTAGTGCACGTTATCGTGTTAGAAAACCACAGACGGACAATACCAATGGTTCTGACGATACGTGGGCCAGCTGTAACGCAGGCTACGGCTAGTGAAATTGTATACCGTGTGTAAGACACAAGACCCTAAAGTTCATACCCTGTTCAGCGGAAAAGGCCCGTTCGGGCCAAATAAGAGTGTGCCCCGCCCTTTCCCCGGGGGCAAAACCGAACCAATCTTATCACGCCAAAAAAAATTTCGAGACTGAAATTGATAATCACTCTGAATCTGTTATTGCTGTCGGTCATCATTCGTTTCCATCCTCCGAAGTGAGCTTTGACACCTTATGGTACCCACACAAAGTAATACCTTACAGAGAAGGGAGTGCATTGACTATAGTAATTAAAGTTAAGCACTGAATTTGGTGATAACACTGAATATAGTGATTAGGGCTAAGCATTTCCTGTTACGGTAGTGATTAGGGTTAAGCTCTATCTCGATATGGTACACTTTAATTGGCCGTTCATCAAAAACGTTCTGCTCAGGAAATCCACCATGGTGTTGAGGTATGGGCAATGAGCTACAGTTCTGAGACCTGGATCAATTCCCGATAACGTCTCCCTGACTATTTTCTTCTTCTTCTTGAAAATTTCAAGAGATTTAGAAATTTAATGTAGGTATAAGTGATATGGAAAGGTCATTTTTGAGGGTGGGAAGGAGAGATATTAGAGAGCTTAAGGGAAGACGTTGTGGGGCGACGCTTTTCAAACGGAAATTAGGCCTTTTTCTGTCTAATATGCATTGACACTACCAAATATGTACTGCTAAGTTTTATTACTCTTTTAGAGCTAATTTGCCCGAAAAATTGGGCAAAACCATGCAAAAAGTCCGCTTCTGGTTGACTAGACTGCAAAACAGTCCGTATTTTTGCGTATTCAAGTACGCGCGAGCAGTCAAACGGGCGTGTGAGGCTCGCGCGCTTCGCGCGCGTAAGACTCTTACGCCACGCTTTACCGATTTCTTTACTGATTTTGAGAAAAAAACCGCCTATTTTGCAGTCTACTGGTTGACGTGCGTCGCTCAAAAACATCTTTGTCTAAAGGGACCATGTCAGGAGGATATTGCTGTTTTAGGTCAATTCTGTGATGAAGTCATTACAGCTGCCCACCTATCCCTTCCCTAAGCCAACATTTTGCCCTAAGTGAGAAGTAAGTGTTAATGTTGGCTTAGGGGAGGGGTAGGTAGCGTCATTACTTAGTGCCTTTATCCACACAAAATACTCCTGTGGAGATATGAACAAGACAACATAAGGCTGGAGTACTAACCATAACACTTTTTGTTGAGTTTCGCTGGCATTGCATTAAAACTTGAAAAAGTTGGCCCAACTTTTCAAGTTTCAATCCTCGCCATCCGTTACGACAGACAACAGGAAACAGTTTCAATGCCTAAATATAGCCATAAATAACAAAACTAGACCAGTATTTTTGAAATTCAGTTGATGTGAGAAACGGTTTTGGTTTTTAATTTAAAAGGTAGCATAAAGGGTGAGAACGCCCCTTTAAGCTCCCTAATGGTTATTTTCCTTCATTGTAGGGTATGGGCCAGATGCTTGATAGTGTAGAGTTGTGCCTGGATAAAACTGATCTCAGCTTGATTGATTGCCAGGACAGCAATCCTGATTGTGACTTCAGCAAACCAGTGCAATATCCACCTATTATTTACCCAAGTGACTTGGTATAAGACCAGCTATCAGCGAATCAGATCTCCGAACTGTTAGTGTACTGCAAAACTGTAAAAACAAGCTTTAATCTTGGTGCTAAGCTGAGCTTGGCTTACTTTTAGCTTTAAACTTGACTGTAGGGGAATACATTTGGTTAGTCGGCTTAGATTAAGGTATGGGCGGCGGGGGGGAGTAACTGTTTAATAAGCAGGTCCTTGACTGAAAACTGAAGTACATAAAATAGAAGTCTAGTTGAAGCCTGGTGAAAATGAGCAACCTTCCTCTTTTAATCTAAATATTATGGAAGTAATTAAAAACATAATGGAAGCAGTAGGCCTCAATGGGAGCAACCGATAACCGCAATCAGGGACTCCTGCCACAATTGAGTGATTTAAACGTTCAATTTTTGCTTATCTCCTATAGTGAAATGCAGTCTCCAAACGTTATTGTTACCACTATAAAAATGAAATTAAAAACTATTACATGTTGTTCATACGAGGCTTTAAATCCTGTGGTCTCTGTTTTCTACTTTTCCTTACTGATATTCTTTACCATTCTTTCCAGCTTTTCCCTGGGAACATTTAGTTAAAAGCAAGAGATCAACAAGGGTGAAAAAAAACTTGAGGAACGATTATTCTGCGCGCGTTTCGAGGATTTGGTTTACAGGTAAACCAACACTTAACTTTGGTTTCCTATCCTCTTGAATAGGATTGATAAAACGTGAGATGTAATTCTCCCGCGCGCGTTTCGACGATTCCCTACAGAGGTAAACCATCACTTATCATTGATTTCCTATGTTCTTGAATATTTGTGACGTGGTTCTTTCGCGCGCGTTTCGAGGATTTGCTGCACAGGTAAATCAACACTTAACATTAATCTCCTATCCCTTTCTAGGCTAATCCTTTTCATACAGTTTCCGCCACTTTTCGTCAGGTCAAGAAACACTTGCATTAGTAATAGTTCCGTTTCGGTTGCTCTTCGTCTTTGGCTTATGGCACCAAAGAATCCTGATGAATGCGTGCTTAAAATCTTGGTGAAACGCGGCGTACAAAACAGGATTCACCGCTCCGTTAAGAAAAACAAAAACTGTTGAAATGTACTCAAGCGCGCGCGGGACATCTTCACGACTAGCGAAGATCGCCCAAACATTCGCGATTCCACGCGGGATCCAACAGAATACAAAAGCTATGACGACGGCTAAAAGCGTTCTAGTTACCCTTGCTTCCATGGCTTTCCGCCGTCTACCTCGTCTCGAGGCAGCAGCACATGTCTGAGCGACCTGAGCATTGCGGTTATCATCAGTGAACCCTGACTCGGTGATGTCATCCCTTGAAACAGCAAGATTATGAAACGAAATTGCGCCAGATGGGCTTGCTGTGACAGTGTTAAAGTTTGACTCCGTACTTTCTTTGCCTGACCCATTTTTCGTCAATTCTATACTCGTAGCTGTCTCAAAAACTTTCTTTCCCTGCAGTCTTACGAGTCGGTAAACGTTTAGGTAAAGAATCCCTCCAATTATACAAGGTAGGAAGTAGCACATTACTTGAACTGTAATCGCATAAGCAATTTCCTCAGACCACAAAATGTTGCAAAACAGAGTGCCGTGGATAAATCCAAGCTTTCCCCATCCAAAGAAAGGCATTAAGGTCCAAATGAGAGAATATAGCCAACTTAACACTACAGAGAAAATAGTTGCCTGTTTGGTGCACTTTGTTTCGTAAGAGTGCGGTAATGCAACTGCTATATATCTGTTAATACTGATATGCACCAAAGCCATGATTTGACCCGCGGTCAAGAAAGCGTTTATGAAACCCGTAAGCTTGCAGATCACCCAAGGTAATATCCACTTTTGAGTTACAGCTGTGGCCATCACAAACGGCACCACTGTGATTGTGATTGAAAGGTCTACGATTGCCAAGTTTACCACCAGAATGGCAGCTGTTGTTCGCAAACGTTTCGTGCGGTACACGGCAAGCAGAACCAAAATGTTACCGAAAGTCGCGAATGCCATAACGCAGCCCAAAGAGATGACAGAAAGTAGTGACCCATCTGTAAGCGATGCTACTGCGTCGGTGTAGGAAAGATTTGCTTGAGGCCTTGACGAAGATTTGTTTGCCATTGCGGAAAACTAAAAGCCACAAACGTCAATAATGCGTGGGCCAAAGCCACCCAGACCTTGTAGATTGTAGAAAACTGGCGGACTGCTGGCTGAATTCTGCCCGTGAAATCAAAACTGAAAATCCAGTTGCATGAAAAATCGCTGAAGATGAATCTAAAAGATGATTTAATGGGTCGGGAATCGATCAAATACATCGACACCCACAAACATCCGGAGCTGACAATGTAATAATTAGTCTTTTTCTAAATAAAGACGAAAGCGTTGGCTTGTGACGAATTTATCCTATACTCTCAATTGATCCTTTGCATACTGAATACGAGTCGAGTGGGGCAATATATTCGGGTTATATCATTAAAAGAGGCCTAATTTGAGAGTACTTCCGTAACGTAACTCTTGGTTTAAATTTCGGTGTCTTCAAATGAGTGGAGCGGTCATGATCAACTTTTTTTTAGTTTGTTTCTCATTTCCTGTAAGAATAGCTCGTTTCCTTTCAAATGTTAATTCCAAATCAAAAGCGTCACAGTTTCATTGGTAACATTATCTAAAAACGAGTCAAACAATACAAATTACAAAGCATTTCTCATTATTCATGTGTTATTTACAAAATGAATGTACTGACTTTTATCAAATACAGAACTTATGCTTCAATTAAATCTACTTTAGCAAAATGATTACGTTATGTGCGTGTATGAGCTTCGAAAAATTGTATTTTACGGAAGGTAAATAGAACAACAGCACTTTGGTTTTCTAAAATCAACGAGGACTCGAAATATGCCCCCAGTTTGATATTTCCAAGTAAAATTTTAAATTATTTGCGAAGGGAATTGTTTTGCGTACTTTTCAGTTTCGAATAACAAGTAATTTCCTTTTTGATGCCGCAGAAATAAGTAAGTACACCATTCTAACAGCATTTTTTGACAAGTTACCCGACTTGTCAAACAAAAGCAAATACTGCGGAAAACGTCTGTTTTTATTCGCATGCATTCACGTGAACTTGCTATTATCATTTATTTGCAGAGCCGGCCGCGGTAAATGTGAGAGTTATTTTGCGGCTAGCGAAATACACCTGATTTATTTCAATGCCTAGTTTGATTTGGTCTTTTAATAGTTGCTCAGCCTGCGTTTACATCTAATATTGAAAAAGAATTGATCGTCCGACTGGAGACTGAGAAAAAAGATATTTCTGATGAACACCGAGGTCACTTTTGTGGCAAGGAAATGAATTTTTCTTTAGAAACTGTTAATTTAACGAATTCTTGTATTATTCCGTTGTTTAGTCTGACCAGAGTCTTTAAAGAGTTTAAAAGCATCTAGGTGTAAATGTCCTACGGACGAGCTGTTGAAGTCCTAAGCGGTGCAATTTTCTTGGTAACGTGATTCGGAAGGAAAAATAAATTAAATAAATTTTTGAAAACAAGTAGATCAAAGTAAACATAATACTCAAATTCTAAAAATAAAAAAATTTATCTGCGTCTTTGAGGCATCGTATAATTAAGAGGGTGAAGTGGAAAAAAAATGCATCCGATTTTTGTAGCCACGTTTGATATGCCGGGAAGCGGGGCAAACAACGTTTTGTTTTATCAAAAAATCCTGTTTATACAAAGTCGGCCACGTTTGATATGCCGGGTAGCGGAGCAAACCACGTTTTGCTTTATCCAAAAAGCTTGCTTATACAAAGTTATATCGATTACCGTCTACTGAAAAACTCTGATCTCGTCACAAAGGATATGCAACCATCAGAAGACATGAGTACCTTAAGTTACGAGGACATCTCCTCCAACTTTCTTTTCTTTTCTTCCATAATTTTTCTATTCGTTCATTCAGTTGACTCAATTTGCTCGCTGATACCTTCAAGCCAAGGCTGCTTACCTCGGAAGTCGTCGTTTAACACTAAGTATTTTTGTTCAAAATATAGCCTGCATTTCCGGGGGGTACTCAACAAAGTTTCGTACGGGTACGCTCTGTCCTGAGGTCCAACCCCTTACCCTTAACGATGCCATTTTTGAAAGAAAGGGTACCCCTTTCACATACTTGACTCGTCCCCAGTCGTCTCTTATCATTTGAGGCGGTCATGGAATGGAACGGTCGCAGGAGACTGTTAAGGAATATCGGCGAAGGGGACGATGGGAAAGAAGAGGGAAAAGGAAGAGAGAGTCTCCTCTTTTCGCTCCTTCTCATTTCCCCGCGCGCGCGCATCTTCTAGGCGCATCCCTCGTTTATATTTAAACAACTCAGTTTAAACTTTCAGTTTTATTTTCCTTTTTCTTTTAGCCCCTGAAGAAGGTTTGTTTTCAAACCGAAATATTGGGCAATTTGTTGAATATATATTTTTTTGTCTTATTGTTTTGTTTACTTCTTCATAGCCTGTGAACAGACCTTTGGTCGAGCGGGAAACTGGGAAGAGGGAAAAGCGAAAAGGCCCCTCTGCCCCCTTTCCCTTCCCTATCCTCGCTATTTTTTTCCCAAACAGAGAGCCTGTTCTTCATGGCTTTGCCGTAAGGATCAGTTTGCCGTTTCATATTTTTCTACAAGTTTAATTTTACTGATCCAGGTCTACAACTGGGAGATCCGGCACCACTCGTTGGTTTGTTGCTGTGGACTTGCTGATATTTTATATATTTTGACAAAAGAGCCCTTTTAATTGCTGAAAATGCATTGTTTTTAAACTACGAATAAGTCACAAAACCAGAACGTTTTCTTGACTTTTTCATAGCCTCAAAATTCATCTGTTGGCCCAGGAGCCGATTAGCCTGGTTGGCCCTTTACCTTCAGGCCTTTCATGCAGACCGTAATGACAGATTCTGCTACCTTTCATATACTTCCCCGGCCGTACTTCAACAAGTGAAATTCCTACCCTTTCATGTACCTGAAGCCTTAAAAAGGGAGGAGCCTCTCCGTATAGACAATAGGGAGTACCCCTCTCTGGGCCTGCGTAGCCGGGCGGGAGTGCGTTTGCCTTTGACAAGACAGTGACAAGATTCTAAAGATCAGGAGAAAGTGAAATTGAGATTCGGTGAGATGATTTCCTCTCATGGGTCCACCACCAAGAAAGTAGCCTACGCACTCAAAACAGTAAAACAATGTCAGTGAAGAAGATTTATTCTACCCCCCTTGGTTCTACTAATAAACTCACGGTTTACCGTAAAAGTGATGAAACCATGCAGTTTAGTTCCAACAGAGAATAATGGGACATATTTCTCTCTTACTAGCCTCTAACGGTGATGCAGTTCGTTTCTAATTCCCCTACTCAAACAAGAACTCGGAATCATGGCTTTGCGAAATAAGTAAAGAAATGAATGAATAACTACAAGATGGCTCTTGATAACTAGAGAGCAACATCAAAGGAAATGACTTTCCCCTCCCTACCTCTCTATTAGGTATCTCAGATTTGATAAATTTGTTTCATTTTCCCGCAGTCCCAGAATTGGCTGCCGAGGTAGGTATAGCAAAAGCGCCAAAAAAGTATTTTAAATGAACCGTTCAATGTAGATGAGGCTCTAGAAGGACTTGTGAAAGTTCACCCCGGATTAAAGCTCGAGTTGGTGACCATTTATTGCAAGCAGGGCGGATGCAAGCGTCCTCCCAACTCCGCACCACACAGCACAGCACTGGGCCTCTAAGGTCATATATGAGTTGGAGAGAAAGCTACAATCTTGGTCAGAATAAAATGGAACAGCCAACCCCCATCCCCCCAAATCAAGGATGAAGCCGCGCGACGGGGAAAAACGCTCCATTGGGGGGGGGGGGTCTAGGTTTTCCATTTATTTATTGTAGCCTGCGTAGCAGGTGTCGAAACGGGTAGGGGATTGGGAGGAAGGGCACAAGGGAGGGAGATTACTCTTTTCTCCCTCTCCCCCACCCCCGCCCTTCCCCTTTTCGCTCTTGTCACTAAGGCTTTAGAAAACGAAAGCACTGGTCGCTGGCTAGTCCCTGTCAGGAGCCCATAATATGGGCGGCCTGTCCCCGTGACGATCCCGTGGTTGCCTTCGGGCGATTTCTCAAAATTTTCCAATTTCCCCACCCCTTAACTTCGAATTGAAAAAAGTGTTTTGTATATGTATTTCCCCTTACACCAATTGTTTTTCCCGCGCGGGACACTTTCATGGATGGCCCGTGTACCTACCCCTGGGGAAATGGACTGTATCGCGCAGTTCGCGCAGCGAAACACCGACCTCGTCCACTCACCGGCACGTCAAAAATGGCTGATGAAAAAAATTCGGCAACGTCCAAGAAACTGATAAATAATCCTCTGAATACAGTAGATGAAGCTTTAGAAGGGATTGTGTTGGCAAACCCCGGCCTTAAACTTCTTAAGAATCACCACGTTATCGTTCGAGAAGATGTTGACGAGCTTCGAAAGTCTGGTAAAGTGGCGCTCATTTCTGGAGGTGGCAGCGGCCATGAGCCTTCGCACGCTGGGTTTATTGGAAAAGGAATGCTTACAGCTGCAGTCGCTGGCGCCGTATTCACTTCTCCTCCAACGAAATCGATACTTGCTGCCATTAGAGCCGTAGGCAAAGGGAACAAAGGTGGAACGGTTTTGATTGTGAAGAATTACACTGGAGACCGATTAAGTTTCGGTTTTGCTGCAGAGAGGGCGAAAGCAGAGGGAATGAAGGTTGAAATGGTAGTGGTCGGAGAAGACTGTGCGCTCACCAGCAAGGATAAAACGGCAGGAAGAAGGGGTCTTTGTGGAACCGTGCTAATTCACAAGGTATTGTGGAATCCCAACTGGAGCCGGGGGAGCGAGTGGGGCGGGGTGGGTACTGGCGCGTGCCGCTTTAGTCACAAGATTAGACTTGGGAAAATCATAGCTCAGTCTACAGTTTTATTTGCCTGAAAGTATCATTTGACTACATCTGACAAAATGTTTCAGGGTGATTTATTTTCTTGCTGAAATAATTACCAAATTATGCATCAGTCAATTCCACCTGTGCCCAGGCCCCCCCCGGGCAACTGCGGGGCATTTGCCCGCCTTGTCAGTCCCGGGTGTGGGGCATTTGCAAATTTTGCACTGCCCGGGGGCCGGGCATTTGTCAACCCCCGGGCCATTCCTGAGCTTTTGACACGCACGTGGTTTCCTATATGAGAATATAACTACAAAGAAGGTTTTAATTGCAAAAATGCAGATTGGCTCATTTGTCAATGACAGGAATAAATAATATTGTAGAGGGTTGTAAAGGCATGTTCTCGATTTTACATTTATATACGCATTTCTTCATTGCTTTTCAAGTCAGAATTACGTAGCGAAATTGGAGCTATCAATGTGAATCAACGTTTTTTGGTTATTGAATCTTGTTTCTGATGATATTATTTGAATAACATCCTTTCATATTTATAAAACTATTCATAACATATAACTTTACAGCGCTCTATTAATTTTAATGTCAATAATTTTATATCAATACTAAAACCATAAACTGGTGCATGTCGTCGCGGCGTGAAGTCTTAATAATTAAGAATCCTTGTGCTATTACAAAGAAAGGCGTTAATTGAAACAAAAAATCGCACATTAAAATGCTTAAAATGGCACTACTTGACTGCGTGATCACAATGAAAAATGTTGCAGTGTTGACGGAGGACGGGCCATTGGCCCTCTTTTTTCGTCCCCACCCCAGGGGATTTGACAGCTCAAGAGTCCCCACCCCCGGGAATTTGCCATCCAAGGCAAAAAAAATGCTAATGCCCAGGGGTCAGCCCGGGGGGGGGTGGCTGGGTGCAGGTGGAATTGAGTTTGACTGATGCATTACCAAATTTGACTACTGGAAGGACAGAGGGACAGGAGCTGAGGTGATTGGGCAAAGCGGAAAATACCATACTATTCTTCAAATTTCCGTTTGGGTGGTGCTTCATGTAAACCCGACTTCTCAAATATCTCTTGGTCTCTGCATGATTTACACGTGCAATGCATCAGCTCCTCATAATTTTGCATACATTGCACACATACAATTCATGCAAAACAAACAAACAAAAAAACTGCAGAAATAAAGTTTTCATGAAGAACCACCCAAATGGCAGTCTAAAGAATATTATGGTATTTTCTGCTCTGGCCAATTGGGTGAAAGGATACAGGAGATAGGAGAGGAGAAGTTCATTCATTAAAAAACAAACAAGAAACAAAAACAAAAAACAAGAAGAATGGTAGTTAGTGAGAGACAAAGGTATGTAACACTGAAGGGTATGGTACGGGAGGTGAGAGGCTCTAATCCTCCCACCCTCACCCCCCCCCCCCTCTCCCCTTAAGTGAATAGGACGGCAAACTCATAGAGTTAACATCCCAATTAATAACTTTATGCAACTAACATGAGAAAATGATAAACAAGCCCATTACATATTTCTATAGTAGCTGCATATAGCAGGGATTTAAAAAAATGTGAATTCCAGCTTGTCGGCTGGACAAACCATTCCCATATTTTGCTTGCCTGAGTTAATTGAATGCATGCCTTCTTTAATGGTTTAGTTATACATGTAAGATTGTTTGCTTGATTCTTAACCATAAAGCAATTGTGTGTGAAAAGGTACTAGCCTGGCAGGAAAATATGGTAGTGCTACAGCTACTGGACAGCACTCTTTTCAACCTCTATAGTAGTAGTTATGCCTGGAAATGGCCTTTGCCAAATATTATGAATTATACATCCAGCCATTATGTGTTGGGTATTTGTTAAGTTGTGAATTGCCATGGATGAGAGTTCAGAATAGTGTTAAGTGAAAGTCCCGCTGAATGGTAACCTACACTCTTGCAGATTGCAGGCGCTTTGGCAGAGGAGGGGAAATCCCTAGAGGAAATAACTCGGGTAGCAAAAGCAGCTGCTAATGCTATGGGTATGTAAAATGCAAATCTATACCATTTAAGTTTAATTTTTTTAGTAAATATATAGCAGAGATATGACTTGATTTACTCTAAGTGTTACCGTATTACTGGAAGCAATAAAGTTGGCATTAATATTGACCCAAGATTATTATTACTTTTTTTCCTTTCGCCATTACTAGGAACTATTGGCGTCAGCTTGGCTCCTTGCAGCTTACCAGGATCTGGACCATCCTTTCATTTAGGCAGTGATGAAATGGAACTAGGCCTGGGTGAGGACTTTGCAGCTTCACATATGGACATTATTTTGTTATAATATTATTATTTTACCTGAACAAAAAACCCTCAAAATGAGAATTTCCTGCTGACCATGCAACAACCAACTGAGGAGAATGGGCTGCCTCAATTTCTTCTGACATCCTCAGTGGTTAGACATTCTAGTCTTCTTGGATGAAGGTGTAACACAGATGCTGGTCTTACAGCTCTTTCACTGATTCTATTGTAATGTAAAACTGTATTTGTATCTATTGTAATGTACTTTTTTTGTAGGAATACATGGAGAACCTGGTGTGAAGAGAGTCAAGGTAAAGAATGCAAAAATAATGAGCTTCTGTTATTCTGTCACATTTGCGTGTAATTTTACCAGGACTGAACCTCTGTGAAATGACCACATGTACCCTCATAGTATGACAAATAAAGCTTGATAACAGAGGATGATGATGATTTAGTTTTTTGTCACCTGGGACTCTCATTTGAGAGTCCCAGGTGTAACCAGTGAAGATTTGGTTAGTGCCCAAGAAACAAAGAATGGTCCCTAAAAAGGTTTAATGATGCTAGAGATGTTTATTCTGTCACATTTAATGTCTGAGACGTTAAAGTCGTGTTTGTAAAAACGAGAGGACTGAACCTTATTTAAAAATGATTTTTCTGAAAACAGGACTAGGCTCCCTCAGGAGACACTAGACACAGTTGCCTGCGCCAAAAATGAACTTCTTTATAACAAAGGTTAGTGTTGATGTCCGTCTTGATTTACTGACTTTAATGTTGAGACGTTCACCTGGGACTCTTATTTGAAGAGTTAAAGTCGTAATAAAGTTGTTCGCCTTTAACCATTTGTTTTACTACCAGACGTTAAATGTCTTAAGACGACTTTGGTCTCAAATGACTTTAAAGGTTTGACTTTATTAGTTTAAAAGGCACATTATGTTCAGCAATTGTTGATTTATCGTCTTATATTTTAGGTTGAGAAAGCTGATGTTGTTGTGAAAACAATGATTGATCACATGACAGACATTCAAAGTGGTGCAACATATAAACTGAGCCTTCAACAAGGTCAGGAGTTCACTGTCTTGTTTCATTTTTATTTTACTCTGAGAGATATTTTCAATCTTATTATTACTGTTTCTCTTTGGTCAATTTGACATCAATTTTGCAGATAATTTTTTTATCTCAGGTAATTTTTGTTTTTCTTTTGTGTTTGGGTATGGCAATGTATGCTAATGAAGTTGAAACAAGGAAAATTAATAAAAATTACCTGAGATGAAAAATCAACTACAACATCAACATTAATTTTTATATTGTTGTGAAAATTTTAGAAAACTGCAGATCTTTCCTCAGCATAATCTTCACTCCAAGATCACAAGACTGCTCAGAGGGCTTTGATGCAATTTTTCACTCTTTATGATGTTGATGGCTAGGCAGGCTTCCTCTTAACTCCTACCTAAGATCCTCTCTTTGTCATTCTGCACCACCTGAGACCCTGCGAAATCCTGAGGATTAATTCTGACTTGCAATAAGGCCTAAACAGCTGCAAGTAGAACATATAGAGAAATTGTGACAGAAGACATTCTTTTTCTATTACTATTACCTTCCAAAAGCAACGAATTGAAAAAAATCTTTTTAAAGAAAAGTTGTAAAAATCCAAGGGATTGACATGGGCACCCTCTCTGGAAAGGCCTCCTGTTTTGTTTGGGCTTGCCTGTGTCTCTCCTACCATTTGGAAGGGGAAATGCCTTCTCTTGTCTTTTATTACTCGGTTACATTCGCAAAACGTTTCTTGTCCACTTGCATCTTCTCCTCTTTACTTCCAAACAGACTTGCTGAAACTCTTGTATATACTTTTATTTGTAATCAATATTATACTAGTATTTATTTATTTTTGTCTTACAGAGGAATTCATAAAGGTGCACATGTAATAGGCAACTCTGTCTCCTACTTTGTTTCTCCTAAAAAAATTTTTCAGGATCTGTAGAAACGCAAACCAGGGAGGCCAACCTGTAAAAAAGGAGACATCCAAGTCCTCTTGGTCAGCAATCGCCTTTGAACTAAAATAAAGGCACTTAACCCTCTCCTAGATTAAATACTAATTGGGAGTTCAAGTGGCCAATGCAGATTTGAAACTACCGTAACACATGTATTTAATTGCCTCCTTAGAAATGAGAAGGAAATTATATATTGGAGCCGAAATGCGTCCCGCTATTGTACGATTCTGGGATCATTACTGGAGACATGCTGGTCAGCTATTGGCCAATTTTTTCCCCTGTTCCTAGTACCGGTAACATTCCCAGAAGTCTTTGCCAAAGTTAACTCGGCCCAGCTCCCTTCTCGTTTTTAAACTGGCGAATGTCTGTAAAACTTAACATGTGTGTTGGGCTCACTCACATTGACAGGTGACAGTGTAGCACTGGTTGTCAATAATCTTGGTGGAACATCGGTTCTTGAACTCAACATTGTAACAAGGGCAGCAATTAATTACCTTAGTAAGTCTCTTTCCTTTCACAATCTTGGATTACACAGTAGTGAGGAAATATGGTATGATTTGAATTCCTAATGTTTTTTTGTTTTTATTTATGTGTTCAGCTAAAGAAAAGGGTGTCAAAGTTGATAGAGTTTATGTGGGAAGTTTTATGTCATCACTAGAGATGGCTGGAGTGTCAATCACTTTACTTCAACTTGATGAGACAAGAACACACTGCTTAGGTGAGGCTTCAATGTATGGTATGATGAAATCCTGTGGCAGGTGTCACCAACAGAAGGCTACTTATGAACTGACAAATAGCCATTTCAAGTGGGGGGATGCTGGGGGGTGGGGGTTTGGGTAGAGGTGTGCGGTTCTGATCCTGTTTAACCCTTTAGGTCCTAAGAGTGACCAACATCAATGTTCTCCTAACATCATCAGCAGACCATCAAGAGTAAAAGTTATGAGAATTACTAAATTCATTACCAAAGAGAGAACGCTTTGATCTTAAACCAAATTCTCTCAACTATTTGTAAAAGAAATGTATGGAGATCAGTCTGGAGACTTTGTATGTGGATCTTGGGACTTAAAGGGTTAAAACTAAAATCGTGTATTTTACCACCCTGTTTAATACAAATGACCTTATTTTATCACCATGATTCATTTTGTTTCGTATTAATAGAGAATTAAGTAATTTTTTAAAGTGACATCATGGAATCAGATTAGAAAATTGTTTAAAAAATTCTTGGTAGCACAAATGTAGACCTTTCAAAGCCAACCGTCCCACTCTATATAAACCCTCCGCTTCTAAAAGACACCCTGTTTAGGACACTTATAGTGAAAATTTATACTCGGTTTAAGACTCTTGCTTGCACCACAGATGAAAACTGAACCTTTAGTTAAGACGTCTGTGAGACAGCGCCGAAATCCTTGTTCTGGGCCCCCTCCTCTGTATCAGAATTCGAGTACACTGTGCCATAAGTGGCCTGTTTAAAAAGCCATTGTGAATTTACCAATCAGGATGAAAGGAATATCGAAATGCACTTCCGGTAATTCGTTGATTCCGTTGGGGGCCTAGAACAAGGATATCAGCAGGGTTTCGCAAATGTTACTTACCGAGGTAAGTTAAGTCTGCGACGCAGGCTATAAGACACAAGCCCCTGAAAGCCATTCCCAGGGCAGCACAGTCCAGGTAAGGGAATACCCCCTGGGCAACCTTAAGAGGTGTCTGAGGTCTCTGAGAAAGACAACAAATGGCAGTCTCTTTTGAGAACAGCTATGGGTTATCTGTACAGTCTCTTTATTTTGTATTAAGTTATGTCTGAATATTATTTTAACAGTACAGTCACACCTCCACTTACGGCCACCACTTCACAACGGCCACTTTTTTTGCTGGACAGTACATACATTGACTCTTGTTTATAGCTCACCACAAAGGCCACCTCTCTACAGCGGCCACTTTCGTCTGTCCCCAAGGTGGCCATTGTAGAGAGGTTCAGCCGTAAACATATATGGAAAGAGGTCCATTATTCCCTTAACAGATCAAAGTACAAATGCCCCAGCATGGCCACGTGTATCTGTTTCACCAACGTTAGGCCACATGCGAACTGACAAACAACCACTGGAGGTATCTGAGGACACGGAGAAGGAAAAGCGAACAATCTCTTCCGAGAAGCTGACAGCCTTGGGTAACTTGTACAGTCTTACGCTGTAATAGTCGGTTATTTTCTTTGTAACTTACAAAGAAAATGATTTATCACATAAACACCAATGAAATACCAGGTGAGCTTTCGCGCGAAAACATGATATCTTCACATGTGAAAATAACATGTTGCCTTCACACATGAAAAGATCTCCTTTTCTATGACTACTTAATACATCGCGCCTTTCACAACAAAAAATTATTAAAGTGAAAAGGTTTGGTATTTCATTGATGTTTATCTAATCAATAGAACTGCGCTAAGGAGTGAAATATTTTTCAAAACGAGAAAAGGAAATTCGTTTCTCCACGCGGTTTGGTATTTCATCGATGTGTATCAGATCTAATAAATAGAACTGCGCGAACGAGTGAAACATTTTGCAAAACGAGAGGAGAATTTTCGTATCTCCACGCGGCCATGTAATATCCTCCATATAACACATTTGTGATAACTTGATTCGTTTTGTGTTTATTGCAGGTGAAAAGGTTTATTCAGTCATCTGCCACGTTAGTGATGCACTCTTGGTTAGCAAAGCTAAGCTAAATGAGCTGGATAATCAAACTGGTGATGGAGACTGTGGCAGCACGTTTTCATGTGGAGCAACAGGTGTGCAAATATACTGCAACTAGAGAAATAATATTTTTTTTAATTCACTGACATGCACAGTCGGTTGTTCTCGCTACAGGAGCTGAACCTTTGACCTTCTGGGTACTAGAACATATGCTCTACCACTGACATGCACAGTCGGTTGTTCTCGTTACAGGAGCTGAACCTTTGACCTTCTGGGTACTAGAACATATGCTCTACCACTGAGCTACAGGACACTAGTTGGAACCGCGGACTGTTTCCATTTGTCTGAACTGACCGGCCAGACCATTCCCGTCGTAATGAGAATTTCACTATTACATGTAATCAAAACTACCCAGCCAGATCAGTCAAATCCTAAATAGTATGCACGGAGGAGATGGTTTTTCAGCCAAAATCCTTCGGAAAAAGCGGATTTCATTTGCTTATTGACTGGTCCGGCAATGGTTCGGCCGACCAGTTCTGACAAATGGAAAGCGTCCTAAGGCCATGAAACTAGATTCATGTTAGCCTCAGTAAACAGCCGACATTTTGCGACGCCGCCATTGGTTTCCACGCAAAATGACGTTTGAGGAATGAGCTCAGAAATTCCATACTGATGATGAAGTACTGCCCAGATTTGCTTCTGATTGGTTGAAGTAAATCTTCCTCGCGATACGACCAATCAAAAGCACTACTTAGATCTGGGTAGTGACGCGTCATCAGTATGGAATTTCTGCGCACCAGTGGTGGCGTCGCTAAATATCGGCTTTCTCAGGTTAGATTCTTGTGACAAACATCCTGCATAATACAAGGGGAGGTTTATTGTCAGTAGGTGGTGTATTCGCATTGATATCAATGTGATAGTGACTCTTACGATTTCATGTTGCCAATAGTTATATGTAATTAATAGGCGAGAATTGAACAGCTAGAATTGAACGTAAACGGCATTTTCGGGCACCATAAACACGGTCCCCAGAGTGGATTTTTTTTAAACGCGGGCTTAACGTTTTCTTATGGACGGACTTCTTGCCTAGTCTCTAGGCCTCATTATTCCACGGCCTATGGGTCTCGGGTCACCTGTTCCGAGCGAGTTTTTTTCGTCTCGGATACGTCACCGAAATGCATTGACCGAGAAGGCCTGAAAAGACGTGGTTCAGGGACCAGACAGTAGGGATTTTAAGATTTCGCTATGGAGAGGTGTTACTACGGCGACGTGAGGTGAAAATCACTTCCGGTGGCGTCACCACCCGACTTGCGATGCGGCTTTTTCGCCGGCCGTAGCCTTGTTTTTTGGCAGGTGAAACACGAGCCGGACAAAGCGTCTGCTTACCCATGCTAGAGCGGGGTCGGTGCATAACGCTGCATATACAGCTATTTCAGGAAAGGTTGTGGGAAAAAGTGCACGCGAGTATCCTGAAAGGTATTGTGGGTTGTTAAGAGTTCACTGCTTTTCAAAGAAGTTTGAAAGAATGGCACGAGAGGCCATGGACGTATGTTTGCGAGTGCTTAAGGAAAGCAGCAAAAGTAGATTCGACAGCTACAGTGTCAGAAACAGTGTACTGATCATATCCCATATTACGTTTTGGGATTGTCGCGTGCACATTTTTTCCGACAATGTTTCTCGATAGTTTTGTATTATTTACCTTTTCCGCTGAAGTGATAATCTGTCCTACTAATCAGTATTAGTAACGTAAAGCATATCCCCATTGTTGTACACTGTGTTACATTGGATTCAATCGTTTGAGTGTTAGGCCACGTGCACACGAATCCTGATACCCTGAAACTGCACACTTGATATTTGTGTCAACACCAAGTCGATGTGGTGTGATCCGGTTTAAATTCACCCATCTATACGAATACGCTACTGCGATTTACATTTGCTAATTACTAGCTAATAGGCATACGCAAACCGATCCCGTGATGTGATTTGGCGGTATTTTTAAATGTTGGTTGTAGCTTTATCGTGCGCAATGGCCAGACCTGCCTGTACGTTGTCGCACCATGCACTTGAACCCAAAAATCGTCTTTGAGAGAAATTAACTTCAACTCATGCAATAAGACTGGTGACGAGAGCCAGCAAAGTTGCAAACAGAACATTGTTGTCCGCCATTTTGAACTTGAAAGTCTTCATTTAAGACTGGACCCGAGTATATGATGTAGTTGACTTTAAAAATGTCCGGTTTCAGTCGTCCACGCGAATTCAGCAAACCCGTCGGACTAAAAAAAATCCACTCTGGAGACCCGTTTCAAAAATATGCGGTTTCGGTGTGCGGATTCACAGGTTTCATGTGGACAAGAGCGTGCAGTTTCAAAAGTATCCGGACTGGTGTGGACGGGGCCTTACTTAGAACCTGAGTTATTGCAATGCATTATTTGCAGCTTTGAAGCAAGCCTTGGGATCTCCCGACACGCCAGGTTTACCGTGTAACAATCCTGAAGAGTTATTGTTATCGCTGGGCGATTTATGCGAAGACTACATGGGTGGAAGCTCGGGGGTGGTGAGTCAGTATTAGAGTGCTCTAGATTTGAGGACGAGAACTAGTACGAGTACGAGATTTAACTAAATGTTTTTGCGCTTGTTCTAAAAAAAAGCCACCCCGGAGAGCTTCATTGTACTTGGTTCACCAAAAAAGTTCGTACGGTTATTAGTACTGAAGGAGGTTAAGCCCTCTCCCGATAGCGAAATGATAAAACTTCATACATTTGATAACTTGTTCCCGCGACTACGACATTCTCGCTAAAACTCCTTTTAGAATGACGACGGCTATCACATTTTCCCGCCAAAATGACGCTGGTTCACGCGTGAGTAGTACTCAGTATTGAGAAAATCTCGTACCTGTAGTCGTCCTCGTCTCAGAATCTAAAGCTCTCTATTGTTGAGTTATTCCTACCAACACGGGGTACTATCACTCGTTGCAATGGTGGAACACAGAGGGAAACGTCCATTCTAATCCTTGGGATATGTGAATTCACCAAAGTTATTTTTAGACCAATTAAACGCTTCGCTTAAATTAATCGGAAGTTGGTTTCCGGACAGGTCCACGAACTTTTGTTCAGCTTTGTCAAGAGAGATTCAACAGATGCCATTGCATTGTTTTGCATCGAGGACCTGATTTCTGGACTTGATTTAAATGTGCGGACGTCTCAGGAATTAGACTTCCGTTTAATTACAACTTCTAAAAATAACTTAAGTGAAATTCACATATCCCGGCCAACGCCCTAAGATTCCCTCTCTGTCCCATTATACTCTCTTGCTGGTGGACTCGTCGTCGCGAGATCGACCTTTCTCCTTGTTTCGCCTAAATGGATTTGAATTACATCATAAATTCCAGCGTGTTCGATAGCCCGGGGCTAGTGAATTTTGCAATCGGGCTAGTGAATCCTGTTCGGGCAAGTGAAGTTTTTCGTGAAATTCAAATTATAGAAGAATTGTAATCAATGCTGCTCATCAAAAATTTTTTGGGGCTTTTTAAAAGACTCTTGGGCAAGTGCATATTAGCAACAACTTGCCCGAATGGCAAGCCGTAAAACCTACTTTCTTTGCACCCTGAATTCACACAAGAAAAATGATTGACATATGCTTGAGTTGCTCTAATTATCAGACACATGTTGTTGTCGACAACAACAACAACAAATACGGCGACTTTCTAGAGCTTCTCAGGTTATGTCATGTTTAAAATGTGTCTTGAGGTCAACGCAGTGAATTTTACGCCAAACAGGTGTGAAAAGTCCTTTTAAATGGTCCAACGATCCAGGAAAAAAATGACGGGGAAAGTCTAATTGAAATCATAGGTTAAACAGCGTAATAAACTCACTTGAGTGCTTGGATCAATACGAGCATTATATTTGTTTCTTTTAACATTCCAAGTGCATTTATCACACTGGCAACCAATCAGGAACCTCAGTCTTCAGTTAAGTTCTGCGAGTTCACCATAATAGTAAACAGTTGAGTACTAATACATCCATTACTTGAGAACAGTTGTATAGAGACATGGTGCGTCCCTTTGACTGCCCTCAGTTATTCTGCATTTGATTTGTTTGTTTCCGCAGTTGTACAGCCTCGCTCTCATATCAGGTGCAGTACCCCTCAGGAACAAATCAACTCCGCAGGCCTGGTCTCAAGCTTTGAATGTTGGTGTTCAGGCTATGATGAGGTATGAAAACTGGCAAAAGGGCAGAGGAACTGGCCCTCCTCCTTTCTCTGTTGTGGCATCTATCGGTTATATTTCCTTCATACCGGTAATTTTTTTAACCTTGCGCTGTTATGCTATGAAGCGTGGGTATAAACTGCGGTAGGCCCAGCCCAGCGCTTGACTGCAGAGCTAGAGATCGCGGATTCAATCACTGGGACCGGACCTATTTCCCTGCCAGCTGAGTTCTCTCACGACAAAAGAAAAATGATGGGAAAGAAAGAGACCTCTGCCGCAACCTCGTCCTCAGGGCGCTCCAAAGCCAGGGAAAAGCGCCCTCGGGACGAGGTTGACCTCTGCCGGTCTCGACGTGTACTTTCATGTAGCCGCCGACCACATTTGTAGCCGATACTGACTGGTTTTCACAACAGGTTTCGTTTTCTGTGGAATGTGAGTGCCCTGTTGAGACTGCACGCTGGAAATTTCTGAGCCCACAGTTGTTATCGCGTAAACCGGTTCTGTAGGCTGTGTCGCAAGGTTATTGGTTGTTAAGGGAACGCCAGATAGGAAACGCATCCGATCGGAGACCGGCAGAGGTCTCTCTCTCTTTCCTCTCCTTCTTTTCTTGCCGTGAGAGACCTGTCCTAGCAGGGAACAGACCAATATCCAGGGTCTTAAAATGAATGAGAAATGAAGGTACTGCCTTTACCCTGCAAACGGATAAGCCTTCGCATCGTTTGGATGCGCACATAAATTTGCGGTCCCGTCTCTAGCAGGAGACAAAAATTAGCCTCTTCAATTAGTACTTTGGGGCTAAATGCCGTAAAATTCCGAAAATAAGCCCCTCCAAATACAAGCCCCCCAAACTCGTAACGCCAAAAACCCTCCGTTAAATCGCCCCTCCAAATATAAGCCCCCCCGGGGGCTTGTACTTGGAAATTGCCCTCAAATACAAAGTAAAACAAAGCAAAAACGGTAAATTTCCTTTCAACGATAAGGCTAGCCCAATCTATTTTAAAGCGCAAATTTCCCTCCGTAGATAAGCCCCTCCGAATAAAAGCCCCTCCAAAAATAAGCCCCTCGAAAAGGGCCTTTGCAAAATATAAGCCCCGGGGCTTATTTTCGGAATTGTGTTGTATATTGACACGACTCGAACATAGTGCGTTTCGTCTGTGCACAGGAAGTATTGAAAGGCGTTGCTACAGTCGTCACACTTGTGATTGCAATGACCAAAATTCATATTGTGCATTGAGTTTAGTGGATATTTTTTATGAGTTGACCTACTGTTATTGTTATTTTTGTTGTTATTATTATTATTATTATCAATATTATTATTTAATATAATTAAATTTATAGCTGAATCTTTCTAGGTATGGCGGAGCTGTCCCAGGAGATCGTACAATGGTATGTCAGTGATCTACCTATTTTGTTTCAGTAGACAACTTAAGTTTGGTTATATAAAACTCGACATCCAAGCGTATTTTTGAAATATTATTAAATATTATTATTATGAACCAAATTAATGTTGGCGCCGATTGAATGCACCTATAGCGCTGCTCGTTAACTCGCGTGGTTATTTGAGCTAAGTTCTTTAAGAAAATGAGATTGTCAATCCCAGAAAAGAAAGCGCTCTTTCGATCAGAATTGAAAAAATAAACTTCTTCTTTTCTTTTCAGCTTGATGCTTTGTACCCCGCAGGATCAACTCTAACCGCCGAACTTGCTTCAGGCGTGGATCCTGTAGAAGCGATGAGAAAAGCGGTTGAGGTATGTGAACTGTTTGTAGAAAACGCCGTCGCGCCCTGCGCGATATGTTTAACTTAGTTGGAATTCGCCGTTGTTCGTGGCTCGAAGTTGGATCTCAGAGCGGGGTCTGATCTCGGTTTGGCCACACATTTTCCTATATAACTATCTATCTGGCCGAATTTTTGAGGATGAAATAGGAAGCGTAAAGAAAAAAGCAATGTTTGCGATCTTAGTTTTCACATTGGCTACTTCGGAGATAGTTTTGAAAGAAAAAAAACTGCTAGACGTCAAGAGCCCATAACCCTGGGCCTGAGAGGTCTATTTTGGTAGTCACTTATAACCGGGTTGGTATTGTCAGAGAAAATAGAAGTGATTTGGACCTTTAGTTTCAAAATAAGAGCGAAAATGGAGGTAGAAAACATATGTATTGCGTTTCCCGCAAACAAGTTTTGGGTCGGTTGTTTTGTCGGGCCATTTCGGCTTGATCAAAAAGGCTTTTTATCTATCTTTCAAGATTTTAAACCCACAATGAACTCGGCGCTTTCCCACGCCGATAGAATAAAGACTAGTTTCAGTTCGTTGTACTTGTCGGGTTTACATGCGCATTTACACCTTTCTTTTCCATCCGGCGGCCGAAGTAATACTGAATATGTTTTGCTATACTCAGTTAAGAATAAAAGAGGTCAATAAAACAATGACAAATAAGAAAAGAAAAAGAAAGAAAGATAGATATAGGAGTCTTCCGAGACAGTATATTCGCGGCTGGTCACCCATCCAGTTCATAGCCCTGCTCGCCGGGAGCTTACTCGGGTACAGTGGCGGTACTCACAAACAGATTCGCGAGCTTTTGCGAGAGACTTATTTCTTGCAACTTATTAGACCGAGGAAAGCGTGGTTGCTTCTACTCTTCTAGTTGTTTGATAACTGAGTTCAGGAATAAGCCACGTGCAGAAGTTTTGACATTCATAAATACACACAGAAGCTTGGGGGAAAAGCGCGGGTAAGGTAGGGGCACAAGTTAAAAGAAAATATCAGGGGCGGATCTTCAATTTGTTGATTTTATTGAAGAAGAAGTGTGTAGGGTAAGAAGGGGAAGGTGTAACTAGGTACACGGACATTTAAAGACCCTTTCCCACCTGCACCAGAATAAGGCGCGATAAGTCAGCCAAGCTTTCCTTAAGGTGGCTCGACCCGGTTTTTCAGTGACAATACCTACTCTCTACTCTCTTAGAAATCGAGTGAAACGATTTCTTTTTTTCAAGAACAACTGAAAACTCTAAAAACAATATAAGGCCAAGGGTTACTTCCTAGGGACAGGATAGACGTGTGTTTTTTGAACGCGAAAAGCGTTGTTTATGATTCGTTTCTTTGTAGCAGTAAAATTTCAAATAGAGAAAACGCTTCCATTAAAATTGATTTAAAAAGATACAGAGCAAGACAGTTATATGAAATATAAACGCTATAAGCAGCTTCAAAAACGAATTTCTAGATTTCCTACAGGTTGAAGGAACGTAAAAAGGCAATGGATTACCGTGTTGCCATTTATACGTCGATCTCGAAAAAGAGCCGGACACTTTTTGAAACTTTAATCCACACCCTATTGCAATTCGATTTCCTGCTTTGTTTGAGGTACCTTTGCTCCAAGAGAGAGGGTCTTGTCACCGCAAAACCGGGTCGAGCCACCTTAAAACCTTGCTCACTTGTTAACTGAAGCTTTAGAAACAGCGTTTGACATGACCGGGAAACCCGCTCCCTTCCTTAGATTACTAGCTGTATCCTTCCCCTGAATGCAATGACAAATGACAGCCTGACCGTCATGAAAACCCTACTTCTGTGTTAATTTCTGCTAACGAAAACCAAATTGAGAAAAGCGTTCCTAACACTACGAGCGTGGTGGAAGGAAAAATTCTTAGTCCCCGGCAAGATTGCCACAATTCCAATTGGATGTTTTATCTTCTAAGCACTGGGGGAACTTAGTTTTGGCTCAGAGTGTTTAAAAAACCCATAACTGATCTTGTAATCCACTCTTAATATTCCAGGCCGCTGAACTTGGAGCCCAGTCCACCGCCACCATGACAGCCCGAGCAGGTCGTTCAAGCTATGTTAGTGAGGAGCATTTGAAATGCCCGGATCCTGGGGCTCTTGCAGCAGCGATATGGTTGAGAGCGGCGTATAGTGCCTTGAGTAAATAACATGGTTATACAGTAGGTGGTATGTACTGTCTTGAAGTGTTTGTCAAGTATCACATGAAAATACGCATGAATAGTCACAAAAACTAATACAACTCATAAATATATTTGATCTGTTTTATAATAATAATTTTCATATTAATTTATTTTTATGCGAAGACAAGGAGTTTCACGATATTTGTCGACGCTTTCGTTGTCAGGTTTTAATGCCAACACAGGACAAAGATTAAAAGAATTTTTTTTGTATTAAACGCGGAGTAGCCGCGGTGAAAATCTAAATATAGGGTATTTTTCTAATCTTAGATACAAATTTTTACAAGTTAATAAGTTTATCAGGGGTCTTACTTTAATTGATACAACAATAAACAATTGTTGCGTTTTTTTCCTGACAATCTTACTGGATGTGGTAATTTGCATGTCAAAGTCTTTAGCCTGTCTTAAGACAGAAGGAGAATCGAATGCCTGAGTTTCTTCCCAAGTTAAGAGATAAAAAAAAGCTAGGAAAAGATGGACTCTTTTCTAAGGCTGTCCTCTCCCTTTTCGTGCCCTCCTCTCACACCCCGTTCCTCTTGCTCCCATATTTCTTCCAAGCGCCTACTGTTACGCGAGCTACCGAGACGATCATGTCCTTAGAATGTTTAAGAATGTTTAAGATATTGCACTTTGATATTGACTGGTATTGCGGACTCAACCGATCTTGCTAATTCTCTCTTTTGTGGTGCACTTAAAAATTACAGGTATTTTTTTCTCTTGTGTTTAAAAATAAACCTCAGTCAATTTTATTCTTTGAAGCCGCTCACCAATATTATCAGTTTAACTTTGACCAGTCCTCAACCACTAGTTTCGGAAGTCGTTACAGAAGCCGGCTTCTCACAGAGAGTAATTTTTTTAAAGGAGGGCAATAAATCTGTCGTATTTGTTTCAGTCTTAACACTTCGTTGAATACGATGAAAACAAATGCATGATATAAAATAAGCAAAGTTTAACAAATGTGGGAAAATATAGGTGTCTTCCTAGCGGCTGAAACTCTTTCCCTCTTCGCACTGACAAGCATTTCTGTCAGGGCCCCCTAAATTAAAAGTTTTCCCAGGGGAGGCCCCCTGATACCTCCAGTGGACAGGGGACGATCTTCTCCTTTCATTCCTACCCCCAAAGCCAGCGCCTTTGCATCTCATATATTCAGCCTCTATCAGTTGAGTCTGTAGAAATGACCTCTTTAAATTTTCTCAAATTTTCTGAAGAAATTTTCTGGAGAACTAGGAATTATTATTATTTAACCCTTTAAACCCTACGAGCAAAATTAAAATTCCCCTTTGTCGCCCCTATTAGTTTACCACAGAGGTAGTGGGGAGAAGTTGATAAAATATCAAGCAAACACATCTTGTGGGATCACGTCCTTAATTCTCATGGCCACTCTGTTTTACAAAGCATTGATGTTACAAGGAGAAATTTGATGCTGATCACTCTTAGGGCTTAAAGGGTTAACAACCCTGAGGACGAGGTTGATTCAGTGATTGAATTTTCTTTTATAACATTTTAGATGAAAACTGTTTGGCATTATTTTCTTGAGTTTTCTGCGATCAATGTTTCAACGTGGATTGACATCAAAATTTGTTGTTTTTTTTAACTTTGGTAACTATTTAAGTTGTGCGTGCAAAGTTGTTGATTTCTTTCCGTTCACAAGGCCATCAGAACTCATACAGAGTAGTTAAGTTACGGTTTCGCAAAGACAAGAATTAAGAGGAAATTATGAATATCAGACCAAAACTTACCTTTTGTCGGTCGCAGTAAATATACTATGAAACTGATCCTACTTGATGTTAGCTAAAAAAGGAACCGATGGTTTTAGGTTTGAATCGCGTGATATTAAACTCATTAGCTTAGTCATTAATCCAAATTAATTGAGAGTATCTGTTTTGGCAAAGACTATGTCTGCTTTGTAAAGTTTTATTAAACCGCGGTAAACTTTTTTCACAGACAAATAGTTTCGCCAAAATTTGGCAAGTATCTCGCTTCAAATCGAGGCGCCTTTTAGTCTGAACGTTTTATGACTTTCTATCGTTTAGTGCGTTAATATGATGCCCTAGCTTTAAAACTGAAAACTTTGCGTTTGCAGGAAAAAACTAAGAGAGGTGCTTTCCTTACGTGATGTTTGCAAGAATTAAAGCTGATATTGCGCGGATATCCTAGTGTTCTCAATATTTATTTCAGCTATATACGATCGCAGTTTGAAACATCCTTGTTTGTTGTCGAAGTCACGAAACTTTGTTTTGGATCAACCCTCGTCATCCCGCAGGTGCATTGAAATCAATATTTTTTGGCACAAGAAAAGTCTCACGAGCACGACATTTTAGTCAAAAAATGTCTGTAAATCATTGGTACTTTTTACCTCATTTAAGTTTTCTCTAATAGGATCTAATTGAGTTTGCGGTGATTCTCCTAACCTGTAGTTAAGCCACAACACCTATATTAAGTAATCTATAAAAGGAATGACTTCTGTTTTATTGCCAACCACAACGGACGTGCCCTATAGCACTTTGCTATTTTCGACAGTACTATAATAAGTTGTCACGCGAAACGTGCTTTCGTTTAGATATTGATTTGGTATTTAATTTTTAAAGTATGTGTTAACATTCCGAGAGTTGATCTGATCAAACTACACATCCTCAGTTTTATTATTCCTTTAAGTTGTACTGTGTTATATATAGACCAAATCTAAAATGTTGGACGAAAAATCTTGGTTATAGAGGTATTAATTAGTGAAACTTCACGCAGGACTTTTCAACCATGCATAATCTACGTATTAGCACTTTTTAAAACGTTTTTATAAAAAGTCTTTAATGTTAATTTTTTAGCAAACTAAGTTATGTGCACTCTGTGCATGACTTTGTTTTGCGTTTAAAACTTTAGAGAAGTATTGGCCATAGGAGCCTGCATCAAATTCCTTTCGATCTCCGGATAATAATATTCTTTTCACGTGTTTCCAATGTATATTAGTTTATGTATATACTTTTCCTTTCCGACTGGCATTGAGAATTGTTCGCAAATTTTAGACTTGTGTTTTGTATTTTTGCGGTATATTATTATCTAAACCAATTGTTTTTAGGCATCTACGTGGTCTGTGTTTGAACCCCTAATGACTAGTATTTAAAATATTTAAAACTTTTTGGAACCAAGTGAAGTAAACACCAGGGTATTTTGTTTACTTCACTTGCCTTATCACGGCGTGATAAAGGCAACCACTTTTCGTGTACGAGTAGGGAAAGGCCTTCCAAGTTGTCAAAACCTTGCTACATTTGCCCGTTTTAAAACCTAGGAGAGGAGTTTAAGCTGCGAAAAAGTTGGTCTTCTCAACAAAACTGAAACAGAACTATCTATCTGCCCATATTGCTAAGAGTTCCTAACATTTTTATAGGTATTGATTGACTAAATCTGACCATGTATATTGTAAAGTTTCTGTGACCTGCAGCATGTTTGATGTTAAAACAATAACAAACTGAGCAAAACAAAGAGAGCACAAGTTCCTATTTACAAATATACACATTAATAATCATGCGATAGTTGCTTAAAGATGCTTCCCGCATTAGCCTTAATCTCATTCAGACAAGAGACCTAATTTCATCTAATTTCGGGTTTCGTCCATTTTAAACATCTGTCAGAAAAATTAATTCAACGCTTATTTAGGCTTAGAGTTGGGTGACACTTTGTCAACAATTAAGTGACAGTCAATTGTTGAAGTTTGCCCCTTTATACTTCCTTTCTAAAAACAACTGTATCCTGATGAATTTTTAACTGAACGCTTGCACTCGTCTGGATGAACTATTGTCGGTTATCCGGTTTATTAGCAGATTAGAAGAAAGGTGGGAGATCTATATGTTTGGGCTAGGTAGATCTATGTAGCGTAGTGAGAAAGATACCCTTTCATAGATGACAACAACAAGAAGCTTTATGTGCGCGTTCATACATTTATGCAATATTGTAAAAGCATGAAAGTTAACAAAGAAAAAACGATGAGATAATACTGAGTACCAAAATTCTCCAAAGACGAGCACCTCCCTTAAATAAAGGGATGACCTCTTTGGGATGGGCACCCCACTAAAATGCACACCTCAGTTTGGTGGCCACTTGTCTTTAGATGCACAACTGAATGAAAGCTTCGGGATCGTACTACTTACTGAAAACTTTGCAAAAAATAAACACCGACGACACCGATAATGCAACATCGCTCTGTTGGTCGGTTCTATCGGTATCGTCATTTTTGTCTTGCGAAGCTAATTTTCACGTAGCCAGAAGGGAGTACTATCCGCTTTGCACATTTATGTTCTCTTTGGGTATACTTTTTGCCAGATTCCTGTCGATCCTACGTCCTGCGGCATATTCGTTTGCAGTTGTTGCACCGCCTGCCTCAACTGGATGCCTTCCCAATAAGGCTCGTTCTAGATGGTGTCTCATATGTTTTCCTTGACTTGACTGAAAGAATTTAAAACTACTGAATCCCAAAGTGAGGTCGTAGAGAACGAATCATAAAATTTAATTTGACCGTCGTTGCCAGCGAGGATCCTTATCCTGGTACTTGCCGGACAGTTGATCATATGGCTACACTCTTGGACAAAATGGGTGTAAAATTCAGACCCGCCCTCCTTCGCAAATCAAGATTATAAAATGGCGCGTTTTAGCTTTCGCGCAGCATTATCCTTGATTTCGCGGGGGTGGAGGCTTGCTGTTCCATTTTATTCTGTCCAAGATAATTACCTTCGACAGTATAGATGGAAAATTTAGAGCTCACCCTGCCCACCAAATCAAAGATTAGAAAGTTGCGCGTTTTAGCTTTCGTGCAACTTTATTTCGGGGGGATGGGGGCTTGCTGTTCCATTTTATTTTGTGCAAGAATTTTAATTCTTAAAGGAATGTTCTCCATGAACTTCAGTGCTGGCCTGCAGGCCTGGCTTGTGACCTCGCTATGACGCGGAAAAATAGTATTTGGACTCCATGGAGGTATATCAGTTTCTCGGTCGCGTGTGG